TACACGTGGTCACAACACTATACTGTAGTAAACAGTATACACGTGGTCACAACACTATAGTATTGTAGTAAACAGTATACACGTGGTCACAACACTATAGTACTGTAGTAAACAGTATACACGTGGTCACAACACTATAGTACTGTCGTAAACAGTATACACGTGGTCACAACACTATAGTACTGTAGTAAACAGTATACATGTGGTCACAACACTATAGTAAACAGTATACACGTGGTCACAACACTATAGTACTGTAGTAAACAGTACACACGTGGTCACAACACTATAGTACTGTAGTAAACAGTATACACGTGGTCACAACACTATAGTACTGTAGTAAACAGTATACATGTGGTCACACCACTATAGTAAACAGTATACACGTGGTCACAACACTATAGTACTGTAGTAAACAGTATACACATGGTCACAACACTATAGTACTATAGTAAACAGTACACTTGGTCACAACACTATAGTACTATAGTAAACAGTACACACGTGGTCACGACACTATATTACTGTAGTAAACAGTATACACGTAGTCACAACACTATAGTACTATAGTAAACAGTACACACGTGCTCACAACACTATAGTACTATAGTAAACAGTATACACGTGGTCACAACACTATAGTACTGTAGTAAACAGCATACACGTGGTCACAACACTATAGTACTATAGTAAACAGTATACACGTGGTCACAACACTATAGTACTATAGTAAACAGTATACACGTGGTCACAACACTATAGTACTGTAGTAAACAGTATACACGTGGTCACAACACTATAGTACTGTTGTAAACAGTATACACGTGGTCACAACACTATAGTACTATAGTAAACAGTATACACGTGGTCGCAACACTATAGTACTGTAGTAAACAGTATACACGTGGTCACAACACTATAGTACTATAGTAAACAGTATACACGTGGTCACAACACTATAGTACTGTAGTAAACAGTATATACGTGGTCACAACACTATACTACTATAGTAAACAGTATACACGTGGTCACAACACTATAGTACTATAGTAAACAGTATACACGTGGTCACAACACTATACTATAGTAAACAGTATACACGTGGTCACAACACTATACTGTAGTAAACAGTATACACGTGGTCACAACACTATACTGTTGTAAACAGTATACACGTGGTCACAACACTATAGTACTGTAGTAAACAGTATACACGTGGTCACAACACTATAGTGCTGTAGTAAACAGTATACACGTGGTCACAACACTATAGTACTGTAGTAAACAGTATACACGTGGTCGCAACACTATAGTACTGTAGTTAACAGTATACACGTGGTCACAACACTATAGTACTGTAGTAAACAGTATACACGTGGTCACAACACTATAGTAAACAGTATACACGTGGTCACAACACTATAGTACTATAGTAAACAGTATACACGTGGTCACAACACTATAGTACTATAGTAAACAGTATACAAGTGGTCACAACACTATAGTACTATAGTAAACAGTGTACACGTGGTCACAACACTATAGTACTGTAGTAAACAGTATACACGTGGTCGCAACACTATAGTACTATAGTAAACAGTATACACTTGGTCACAACACTATTGTACTGTAGTAAACAGTATACACGTGGTCACAACACTATAGTACTGTAGTAAACAGTATACACGTGGTCGCAACACTATAGTACTATAGTAAACAGTATACACTTGGTCACAACACTATTGTACTGTAGTAAACAGTACACTTGGTCACAACACTATAGTACTATAGTAAACAGTATACGCTCGCACGGATGTTGACTATACGAGTGAGGCACGCCGACTGAGACCGAGCATGGGAGACGATTACCCACAATCCCGCAGCGAGAGAGAGAGAAGAACCATTGGCTCAGTTGTGATCACGTGATGCTCGGCAGATAAAGCGTATACTGCGCACGTACTGCTCGTATTGCAAGACCTCGCCCGTTTATCAAGTTAAAATTTACTTACACATTTTGCTCGTCTTGCAAAACACTCGCAGGCCAAGTTACTCGCAATCCAAGGTTTTACTCTATACCGGATCACATCCTCTCACATCCGCTGATGCCGTAACTGTGATCAGATCACGGTCTCGTGGTGAACAAAGCGGCTTTGCCGATTAATCTCCCACCCCCTTACAACTGTATCATAATCTTGATTTGAAGCTTTTGCGGCTGCAGGAATCCATACGCTTTGGTTCTTTCGGTAAAGTTACGTAGGTAGAAAAAAGAATGGATCATGCCGTTTCGATCGCAACGCACGCAATCGGAAGAAGTCGGAGGGAAGCTGCTTATGCAGGCTGCTTGTAAAGGTTCGAGATGGTCGTAGCCCCAGACTTATAAACGAAGTGGGGTGGATAGTGATGTTAAAGCGAGGAATGTGCATGCAAATGTACTGTGAAAAATGTATAATAATAATAGGGTTTTCCCTTTTTTTCTGGCAACAAAACTGAAACCTTTTTTACAAGGATTCATGTCTGCATTAACCACAATACCTGCTGTCAAAATGCAAACAAAAAAACACTATGATAATACATGCATTGTCCTTGAAACTGATTGGTCCACACCAAGGGGTCGGCTTTCATTTAAGCGTCGACCCAATAGGAGAAATTTGAATGCAAATTAACTGTGTTAATGTGATTAGCTATATCATACAGAGACTTAAAGTGACTGGACCCCGATGCTTTCCGTCAGAAGATCCGGTCATCATCAGCATGTCTAAATCCTGCATCGACAGTTAATTCATTTTCAGCTCGATTAGTAAAATTACATCACTGCTGTTGTTGATGGACTCGGGCTGCTAAGCATGCCCTGCTGGTGGTGATGCTGCTGCTGCTGATGATGATGCTTCGGATGCTGTTGCATTGGCTTCCAGTTGGGAATGCTCTTCCGGATGTGAGGAAGCCAATCAAGCTATGCACTTTTAATTCTCCATATATATAAAAGGCAAAGTCGTGATTATGTGTTGTCTGTTCAAAATGTTTAGCGTACTTCCCGACATGCAACAAACTTGAAATTTGCCGTGTGGGTACTTTCCAGAATGCACACCATGATTTTTTTTATAAATACACTTTTTTTAGGGGGGGGGGAGCTCAATAATGCATATTTATATTGCACGGCAAGTGAGCTGTGATGTCAAATCTGTCACGTGACCCTCGCATGTGGAAGCCTAACGCATTGTAGTGTAGCGGTTAGCGCGCTGTCTGTGTCTGTGGGTGTGTGTGGGTGTGTGTCTGTATGTGTGTGTGGGGGGGGAGTGGTAGTGTAGCGGTTAGCGTGCTGTGTGTGGGTGTGTGTCTGTGTGTGTGTATACGTGTGTGTGTATCTGTATGTGTGTGTGGGGGGGGAGTGGTAGTGTAGCGGTTAGCGTGCTGTCTGTGTGTGTCTGTGTGTGTGTGGGGGGGGGGGAGTGGTAGTGTAGCGGTTAGCGTGCTGTGTGTGGATGTGTGTCTGTGTGTGTGCTTATGACTGTGCTTATGACTGGCTCCAGTTTAACAGCAGAGGTCTTACTCCGAATCAGTCGAGTGGCAATATCTTTTCATCGGTTGCGTAACGCTGTGTGGAAGCTACCTGGTCTGTCGCTCCGCACTAAGCTTCAGGTCTTCTCGGCCACGGTCATTCCCTCCCTTCTCTACGCTTGCGAAACGTGGACCCCCCTGATGGAACATCTTCGCTGGTTAGAAACATTTAGGCTGGCCTGCCTACGATCCATCCTGGGTTTAACCAGACTGGATTGTGTGAGGAGCTCACAAATCCTTGAAAGATCTGGGCAGGGTCCCATCGGTGAGCTCCTCCGGCAGGCAAGGCTGCGATGGCTGGGTCATGTAGCCCGCATGCCCAGCCACCGCATGCCGAAACAGCTTTTGTTTGGCCGGATTGAGGGGGCTAAGCGGGCGCGGCACGGGCTAGAGAAGAGATGGAGTGATGTGGTACAGGAGGACGTGGAGCTGAGTGGACTTGCCGATGACTGGTACCAGCGGTGTCAAGATCGGCCTCTGTGGAGGAGGCTCGTGAAGGATGCTACTGGGCAGTTGGAGGCAGTCGCCCTCCAACAACAACGGAGGGCGGAGGAGCGACGCTCAGAACAACGAGCGGAGCGCCGGGTGGCTAAAGCACAGCAGGTTGGCACAGTAGGGGGCACAGGTGGTGCATCAGCCAGTCATCTCAGTCAGTCGACCCGTGGCACCTGGGTCTGCCCCGTGACCTCCTGCCAGCGGGCGTTCGACACTTCACGTGGCCTCAGGGTGCACATAGCCTGGCACAAGCGTCGTGGTGACGTCACCGCCACTTAGTGGCGAATGGCGGTTGTTGTTGTTGTGTGTGTATACGTGTGTGTGTATCTGTGTGTGTGTGGGGGGGGGGGGAGCGGTAGTGTAGTGGTTAGCGCTACGCTGCGCTACGAACCCGGCGACCCGAGTTCGATTCCCGCTCACGGCCACCACCGGTGACGAGTATTTCAACCGCTCCTGGGCCTCCCCTAGGTCGACTCGGCCTCAAACGAGTAACTCCTGTGGTGTGTGCTCCAAGCCCCGGGCGAAGCCGGGTAGTACAGCTAGTCGTCTATATATTTTAGAACATTATTTTTCAGATTTGTGTGTTTAGTTTATTAATCCCCGAACCTCCGATTAGCATGGTTGCCTATGTACGGTGCGAAAGAAGTTCCTCCTGCGTCTGCGTCTGAGTCTCCCCGCGTCTCCCCGAGTCTCTCCGCGTCTCCCCGAGTCTCCCCGCGACTCCCCGAGTCTCCCCGCGTCTCCCCGAGTCTCCCCGCGTCTCCCCGAGTCTCCCCGCGTCTCCCCGAGTCTCCCTGCGTCTCCCTCGCGACTCACTCGCGGGAGTTGGCGGCTTCCTCCTTTCTCTTAAGCGTCCTCCGCCGTGTCTGCCCATGTCTCCGCCTTGCCCCCTCTCCCACCCCCCCACCCCCTCCTCTTCTCCCTACCCCCCTCCCCCGCCTCCCCCTCAGGCCTCCGCGTTCACCAGCAACTGAAGCACGGCCTGTGCGACTTCACGAAGGGTCTCCTCTACGACGAGGTGGAGGAGGAGGAAGAGGAGGAGGGGGAGGCCGCCGGGAGGGGGCGGCGGCGGCTTCGCGGCTCCGCGGACGCCGCCAACCGCCCATCCCCCTCATCGTCGTCGTCCGGCGGCAACAACAACAACAACAACAACGGCGCAACAACAACCACAACAACAACAACAACAACAACGGCGGCAAGAGGCGCCCAGGCGATTCCGTACCCCGAGCCGGGCGAGATCTGCACGGATGGAGACAGGGTTCACATCCACCTGGACGGAGAGGGTTTCGACGACGACGTGGAGGACGATGATGAGGACGACGAGGAGGACGATGATGAGGACGAGGACGAGGAGGACGACGACGAGTACGGGGAGGTGGAGGACGGCGAGGTGGAGGACGGGGAGGTGCTGGACGGGGAGGTGGAGGACGGGGAGGTGGAGGACGGCGAGGTGGAGGACGGGGAGGGGGAGCTGAGCTGCTACGTGGACGCGGCGGCCCCGGGGAGGCGCCGGAAGTCGCCGTCCGGCGTCGTCTCCCGGCTGCCGCCTCCGCCGCCTCCGCCGCCGCCTCCTCCGCCGCCTCCTCCGCCGCCTCCTCCCTGCCACGCGGAGCCGCCCGGCGGCACCACCGCCGCGGCCGCGACCCCCCTCGACGCCGCTGCCACCACGGAGCCCCCCGACGCGTCTCCGTGGGGGGCTCACTCAGCCACCGCTCGCCACCACCACCACCACCACCACCGCCACCACGACGCTCACCACCCTGCGCAGCGGAAGCGTCCGCGCATCGACGAGATCGCGAGCTCGCTGCACACGCGCATCCAGCGTCGACACGTCCTGCTGGCCTCGCCCTCCTCCTCGCCGCAGCCCTCTTCGCCGCCGTACTCCTCCTCCTCCTCCTCCTCCTCCTCGTCCCGCTACCACCACCGGCAGCACGGCTACGGCGGCTACGGCGGCAGCGGCGGCGGCGACGTCGGACGTAGGACGAGGAAGAGGAGCAGGAAGGGAGGAGGCGTGACCTGCGGCGACGATGACGACGACGACGACGACGATGATGATGATGGCGGCGACGACGACGGTTACGACGACGGTTACGATGACGGTGGCGATGATGACGATGGGCGATGGTGGCACGACGAAGACGGCGGCGGCGACGACGACGGCAACAACGACGACGACGACGACGACGACGGCTCTCCCTATCGACGGCAGCAGCAGCAGCAGTCCAACAACTCTGGCAGATCGTTTGGCGGCGGCGTTCCACGACCGTCCCCCGCATCATCCTCCACCGGGTCGACGACGACAACAACGACGACGGCAGCGACGGCGGCGACGACGGCGACGGCGGCGACGACGTTCCGCTGCAAGCATTGCGAGTACCACAGCGCGACGGCGCGGGGCGTGAGCACGCACTACCAGCGCATGCACCCCTACGTCAAGTTCAACTTCCGCTACATCCTGGACCCGCTCGACCGCTCGGAGACCTACCGCTGCCTCGAGTGCCCCCACGAGTCGCCGGCGCTGCCCGCGCTCAAGCGCCACTACTCGCGGCGCCACCCGCAGGCGCTCTACGTGCACAGCCTGGAGCGGCCCGGCCGCTCGCTCTACCGCTGCGTCGCGTGCCCCTACACGAACGCCAACGTGCGCGGCATGATGCCGCACTACCAGAGGATGCACCCAGGCGTCGCCGTCACCAACGCGCTCATCTTCTCCAGCTTCGTGAGGCTGCCGGACGACGGCGGCGGCGGCGGAGACGGAGACGGTGGGGGCGACGGTGATGATGGCGGCGGCGGCGGCGGTGGTGGTGGTGATGGGGATGGGGATGCAGCGTCGCCCGTAGGCAGAGGTGAGTCCGAGGGTAATGAGCGCGAGTCGTTCGGTGGGTCCGTCCGCCCGCTCGCCCGCCCGCTCGTTCGTTCGCTCGTTCGCTCGTTCGTTCGCTCGTTCGTTCGCTCGTTCGTTCGTCCACCCGTTGATGTGTTCGTTCGCTCCACTCGGTCACTTGCTAACGCTGCCACCCAATTACTCACTCACCCACTCACCCATTCACCCACCTACTCATCCACCCACCCACCTACTCACCCACTCACCCACCTACTCACCTACTCACCCACTTACCCACCCAATTACCCATTCACCCATTTACTCATCCACCCACCCACCTACTCACCCACCTACTCACCTACTCACCCACTCACCCACCCAATTACCCATGCACTAAATCATCCCATTGACCCACTTAATCGTCCCATTCACCCGCTCGCTCAACCACTCACCCACTCACCCATCCACTCACTCACTCACTTACCAACCCACTCGCCCGCCCTCTCACTCGCTCACTTACCCGCTCACTCATCCACCCACCCACTGACTTAACCACCCACTCACCCGCTCTCTCACTCGCTCACTTACCCGCTCACTCATCCATTCATCCACCCACTCACTTAACCACCCACTCACCCGCTCTCTCACTCGCTCACTTACCCGCTCACTCATCCATTCATCCACCCACTCACTTAACCACCCACTCACCCGCTCTCTCACTCGCTCACTTACCCGCTCACTCATCCACCCACCCACTCACTTAACCACCCACTCACCCGCTCTCTCACTCGCTCACTTACCCGCTCACTCATCCACCCACCCACTCACTTAACCACCCACTCACCCGCTCTCTCACTCGCTCACTTACCCGCTCACTCATCCACCCACCCACTCACTTAACCACCCACTCACCCGCTCTCTCACTCGCTCACTTACCCGCTCACTCATCCACTCATCCACCCACCCACTCTCTTAACCACCCACCCACCCACCTCCTCGCCTGGTTAGGTGGAGGAGGAGGAGGTGGCGGCGTTGGCGACCATGGAGGAGTTGCAGGAGGCAAGTCGCGTGGACACGGCGGCCCGTCTCCGGCGCCCGGTCGCTGGCAGTCGCCGTCGCCCGACGCCACGGCAACCGCGGCAACCGCGGCAACCGCTGCCGGCCCGCCCCAGCCGCCACCGCGGCCAACCACGGCCTACCAATGCGACCTGTGCACCTACACGCACCTCAACATCCACTCGGTCCTCATCCACTACCAGCGTGGTCACCGCGACGTCAAGGCCTCGTACTCGCGCATACGCAAGGTGGCGCTGGGTCCCGACGGCGTCCCGCGGGCTCCCACCCTCGCCCGCCCCGCCACCAACTCCCCCCCCTCCTCCTCGTCAGCCGGGGCGGCGGCGTCGGCGGCGGCGTCCCCGGCAGCGGCAGCGGCGGCGGCAGCGGCAGCCCACGCGGCGGTCGCACCGGGAGACCTGCTCTACTTTTGCCGCCACTGCACCTACTCCCACCGCAGCGTGGAGTCCGTGCTGGCACACTACCGGCAGTCTCACCCAGACGTCGTGGTCACCGCCGGTTACATCCGTCGCGGCTACAGCCTCCTGCCTCGTCCCACCACCGGCGGCACCGGCGGCACCGGCGCCGGCACCGCCGCCGACGCGTCCGGAGGCCAGCATGGCGCACTGCAGCCGCTCGGCGCCAGGGTGAAGGTGGGGGGGCTGGAGAAGGCGGAGCCCGCCGACCCGCTGGCACTCTTCTACTGCCGGGTGTGCCCCTACGACAACCGCACCCTCAAGGGCGTGCTGGTGCACTACCAGAAGCGCCATGGCGAGGTGAAGATCACGGGGCTGGCGGTGAGGGAGCACACGGAGGTCGTGCGCCGTCGGATCCTCCTCATGCAGCAGCAGCAGCAGCAGCAGGACGGGAATCAGAATCAGCCGCGGAAGAAGATGATGGAGTTCCATGACGGAAATCGGCAGCAGCAACAGCATCCGAAGATGGAATTGGATGACGGAAATTTGCTTAAGCAGCATCATCAGCAGCAGCAGCAGCATCACCAGCAGGGCATGCTTAGCAGCCCGTGGCCACAACCACTCTACCCTCTCTCTGAGAAAGGAAAGGAGATGATGATGATGATGGTGGTGGGCGGCGGCGGTGGCGGTGGTGGTGGCGGTGGTGGTGGTAGTAGTAGTAGTAGTGGTGGTGCCAGGCTAGGTGCACCGGTCGTTTCAGCTTCGGCTGCGTTGGAAGCTGCTTCGGCAGCTCCTTGCGCGCCGGTCATGGCGGCCGTTATGGGCGGAGGAGGAGAAGGCGGTGCCACGAGGGTGAAGAGAGGAAGTGGAGGCGGTGGAGGCGGTGGAGGAGTTGGAGCAGGTGGAGGAGGCGCAGCGTCCAGAGCCGAGGCGCGGGCGCTACGCTTGGCACCGCCTGCCCTGTGGTGCAGATTCTGCGATCGACGGGAACGTTACATCCTGGATCTCCGCAGGCACTATGAGGAGGCTCACCCCAAGGTGAGGAGCGGGGTGGGTGGGTGGGAGGGGAGTTGGCCACCTACCTTATATATAAATCGTTCATTCACACACTCGCACTCGAGTGAGTCGGATCGGCCGACGAGCCGTGGCCGGGTTCATCATTTCATAAATGCGTGATAGATAAACATCTATACATAGGGGATGGTGGTAAGGGCTACAACACATTGCCAAAGGGGCGGTTAAGGGAAACGGGTGGGGGGGTCGGATTAGTGCTGCTGTATACAATAATATGTGAACATAATTCATAATAAAGGTTTTTTGGCTTGGTTCCCGTAAGTATAAATTAAACGTGGCAGTTGCTACTTCAGCCCACCGGTGTGTTGGTAATTACATCCAGCATCATCGGGCGATTTGCCAGAATATTATTTCCTCTCCAACACACTGGGTGGCTGAAGTAGTTACTAATTTTCGATTTAAAGCTTTCGTGACTGCAAGGATTCATCTTCTTTGGTTCTTTCGGTAAAGTCACGTAGAATGAGAATAAATTAATAAATTGATAAAATAAAATAACACAATAATATTCTCACGACGTTTCGGCCACAACACAAGCGGCCTTCATCAGGTGAAGGGACGAGACTGTCTGGTAGGACACCACTCCAGCGCTGTCCTCCAGACAGTCTCGTCCCTTCACCTGATGAAGGCCGCTTGTGTTGTGGCCGAAACGTCGTGAGAATATTATTGTGTTATTTTATTTTATCAATTTATTATTTTATTCTCATTCTACGTGGTGGTGACTTTACCGAAAGAACCAAAGAAGATAGTTAGTAATTGGCACGTTTTGTTTACGTGACAAGCTTTACCGGCTGCGTTGGATGGTGGGGGTATACGACCGCTTTGGAATACGTCGAATTTGGTTTACGTCGTGTTATGACGAGAAAAAAATGTCTTGGGATACGACACCTTGCTTGGGATACGACGCCTTGCTTGGGATACGACGCCTAGCTTGTGATACGACGCCTAGCTTGGGATACGACATCTTGCTTGGGATACGTCTAGCTTGGGATACGCCTTGCTTGGGATACGACGCCTCGCTTGTGATACGACGCCTTGCTAGAACTTGTCTGGGTCGGGATGAGTCGCCGTGTCCCCGCGTGTACCCCGTTCACGACTGAAACAAAGCGCCGCTCCTCAGTCTGCCTGTACAGTAGACCTCGTTTAGTGCACGTTAATTTATTCATGCATTTATTTTAATGTTATGTATGCATTTTAGTACTAAGTAGTGTCTACATTATGTTATACAACCCCATTAATGTACAATGTGCCGTATAAAATATCATTCCTTATACTCTGGAACGGATTATTTCCGTTCCCTTTATTTCTTATGGGAAACATTCGTTTGGTAGACGTCACTTTCGGTATGAGTCCTCCTACCTTCTGGAGCGAATTAACGACGTATACCGAGGTACCACTGTATTTATACTAAACACAATCTAACCCAAAAACCTTTATTATGAATAATATTGGTCGCACAAGCCTACGTGTTAAAATGCAATCGTCAACGGGTGTATCCACAATCAGGCAATCGAGATTAATAATACAAATAAAGCGTACGAACTATAAAGGGCTGGTCTCCTAGCAGAGGCGGCTTACGTGGTAGGGCACGGTTGTGCGGCCGCGAGTCCAGGCGATAATAAGTTATTTTGATCCATAATATCGTTTTTTTTGGGTTAGATCATGTAAAAAAACCCTTATATTATGCATGATATTGGTCTTGAAAGCCTCCATGTTAAAGTTATTTTGATTTTCGTGGCGGCGGGCGGGGGGGGAGCAGATGGGTGTAGAACGTGGCCACAAATCTGGCTGCCGCCTGATATTGCCAATTGTAATTACTGGTGAAACGTCGAACTCAGATTGTGAACGTTGTGGCTTTGCTCTTTAAGACACCCGTGTGCTCTACTAGTAACGAATTGGCATGTTCTATCCACGTGACGCAAACTTTACTTATTGGCTGTGTTGTTGGGTGGTGGTGGGTTTAATGACACATTTATATATTTACGCACTCTAACCTAAAAAAACAAAACCCTATATTATGGACGATATCGGTAGCGAACGCCTGCGTGTTAAAGTTGTTCTGATTTTGGGATAGGGGTGGGAGCCATACCCTTTGGTTCTATTCGGTAAAGTCACGTAAAAAAAAAAACAATAAATTAAAAAATAAAAATTCACGACGTTTCGGCCACAACACAAGTGGCCTTCATCAGGTGATGCAGGTGGGAGCCAATTGGCGTAGAACGGTGGCCACGGTGAGATTGAATGGAGGTGGTGATGGACGAGTCCGGCGGGCTCTGCAGGCCTCCTCAACGAGTGCCGTGCTCGGTGCGCAGAACCACCGCTCTTTTGCTTCGCCGCACAACTGACTTGAGCCGATCACGCTTAGCTGCGTCGGTAAATCCCCACCGAGCTGGAGAGCGGTTGGCTCATCTTCGTGATGGACTGGACCCGTATGAGCGCGCATTGTGAAATGTTCTCACTCTTACTTGCTCGGTGATAATGGTTGAGGCTTAAACAGTACGAACGCGCCTTTGCGGCATTCCACGCGCTCGTAATATGTGCGAGGCATCAAAGTACGAGCACACGAGGCAACTACAGAGGCAATGTCGGAGGACCGTAAAAAAAGTTACTGGTGATGGCCACAGCCAAAATTTTCATCACTGCTCTCGATAAATTTAAGTGGAGGTTGGATCGGGGGTAGTGGTTGATCCTGCGGGGTTGCCCTTGGACTCCCCTCTGGCCTGACGATCAGTTCTGTGTACTTTTATTGATTGAGCGTGACGTTATTCCAAGTGGCGCACCTCTGAATGTGTCCGATTTATCCGGCAGTCGATGCAGAATTGGATTCTGGGATAAATGAAGTAGGCGTCGCCTGCGAATTTTAACGGGCACAATTTGCCAGCGGTTATCGGTTGTCGGCGGTAATGGCAAAGCCTGCAGGGCCAAGTGCTGACCCCTTGGCTTACACCGGCATTGATGGTAGCATATTCGGAAGCCTTCATTTCAAACTTGGTGCAATGAGAATGGTTATTGATAAATGAGACCGTCCAGTGTCTAGATCAGGGGTGGGCAAATTTTTTAACTCGCGGGCCACAATGGCTTCTAAAATTTGACAGAGGGGCCCGGGCCAGGAGCAGATGGATGGAGTGTTTGTGTGAACTAATATAAATGACGTGTAAACATCATTACATGAAAGGATTTGGCCTTTAGCAGGTAGCAAAGCGTTTATTTGCAAGGCAATTTAACAAATTGCACGAACGTGAACGATACAAAAACATGTCGTAACTCCCGGTCAAAGTGCGCCACCTAATGGGGGAAATGGGGGCATTACAGGAGAAAGGTAAAATTTAATTTAATAATAATGATATTTGTACAAGTTTGGCGGGCCGGATTAGAAAGCCCAACAGGCCGTATACGGCCCGGGGGCCGTACTTTGCCCATGTCTGGTCTAGATGCTGTCGTGAACGATCGTGATTGAGAGTTTCCCAGTGGTAAACGAGCGTGACGGACAGTGTCGAAGGCTTTGCTGAAGTCCGAGCAGATGACGCGAACGTACTCGTTTGTGGTGAGCCATGACTGCAACGGTGTAGAGTATGCTGATGAGGGCAGCAGTGGTGGAGCCTGAAGGGCGGGAGGCAAATTGATCTGAGACATTAAAAGGAGGGTGATGGGTTGCGTAGAATGAGATCTATGAATGCCCTTGCAAGCATTCTGGATAAAATCGAAGTGATGGATATTGGTCTGGAGTCGGAAAGGCTGACAGGGCTTTGGATATCTTAGGTATAGGATTGATGGAGGCTCACTTCCACTGCTCAGGAACAGTCGAGGAGGAGAGAGACGAATGGAATAGCTGGGCAGTGGGTGAAACGGAGTTCAAATTGCCAGACAGAACAATGGGTGTTCGAGGATGAATTTTACCAATGTCTGTCATGGAGTTTTCGAGGAAGGGCTACGAGGTCGATGACTCGCGGTACATAGGTTTAGGCGGATGGTACAATACACCAGCAATGACCTATTGGCTGCCGTGGAGTGTTTGGGGCGTAGAGGTGGATAGTGATTACTGGGTGGGTTTGCGCCCGAGGACGTTTCTGAAGTGATGTAGTACGAGCAGCGGGGGGGGTGGGCAGCCTCCGAGGCAGACCAGGAAATGGTGGCAGCGGCAGATGGTGACGATCAGGGTAGCCCAGCCAACAGCAGGACAGTCACAAAGTAAATTAGCAGGTCAGCGGCCAAGGCTCCAGTGAAGCAACGATTTCAAGCAGGAGCCCAGGACACCACCAAACTCGCAGCAGGGTAGAAGCCAGGCTCTGGCAGCACACTAACAGTGTTTCAGTCGTACAACCGCAGCAAGCTAGCAGTACTCCAGCAGCAGATCTGCAACACCCCAACTGCTGTGTGATGCCATGTGGCTAGGTAGGTGAGCAACAGTGCACTATCAATGCACCGGCAGTACACCAGTAGGGCGGCAGCAACACCCCAACAGTGCACCTGTAGTACACCAGTAGGGCGGCAGCAACACCCCAACAGTACACCAGTAGGGCGGCAGCAACACCCCAACAGTGCACCAGTAGTACACCCGCAGTGCTCCAGCAATTCACCAGCAGCACTTCAGCAGTACACGCAGTGGCAGTGGCCCAGGAGCGCTTCAACCAGTAGCCAGCAGTGTGCCAACAGCATGCCAGCAGTGAACCAATAGCGCACCCACTCGCTCACCCACTCGCTCGCCCGCTCGCCCACTCGCTCGCTCACCCGCTCGCTCACCAACTCGCTCACCCACTCGCTCACCCACTCGCTCACCCACTCGCTCACCCGCTCGCTCACCAACTCGCTCACCCACTCGCTCGCCCACTCGCTCGCCCACTCACTCGTCCACTCGCTCGCCCACTCGCTCGCTCACCCACTCGCTCACCAACTCGCTCACCCACTCGCTCGCCCACTCGCTCGCCCACTCGCTCGCCCACTCGCTCGCCAACTCGCTCGCCCACTCGCTCGCCCACTCGCTCGCTCACCCGCTCGCTCACCCGCTCGCTCACCCGCTCGCTCACCCGCCCGCTCACCCGCTCGCTCACCCGCTCGCTCACCCGCTCGCTCACGCACTCGCTCACCAACTCGCTCACCCACTCGCTCACCCACTCGCTCGCCCACCCGCTCGCCCACCCGCTCGCCCACCCGCTCGCCCACCCGCCCGCTCACCCGCCCGCTCACCCACCTTCACACCCACGTACTCACCCACCCACCCACCGACTCACCCATCCACTTCCCACCCATCCACTTACCAACCCACCCACCCACCCACCCCTCCGTGTACCCGCCAGGTTGCCGTCACGTCCGGCACGCTGCTGGCGTGGGCGTCCCAGGATGGCCAGGTGTCCCCTGGCTACCACTGCGAGCTCTGCGGCTTCCGCCACTCACTGGCCAAGGGCCTGTACGCACACTATCAGCACGGCCACCGCTCCCACGCCATCAACTACCAGTACGTCCTCACGCAGCTGTGCGTGCGGCCGCCGGATGATGCCGCAGCAGCACCACCACCACCACCACCAACCGGGACCAGGAGAGGTTCCCGGACGGAGCAGGACGAGGAGGAGGAGGAGCTTCAGAAGACCAAGGAGGAGGAGGTTCGTGAGGAGGAGGAGGTGGGGGAGGGGGGAAGCTCGCTCCATGCGTGCGTCAATTGCAGCTTCCGCAGTTCGACGCGAGGCGACCTTCTGGTTCACTATGAGGCCTTCCATCCCTGGCAGCAACCTCCCGTGCAGCCATCACAGCCTCAGCCTCTGGTGAAGGTGAAGGTGGAAGTGGAGGAGGAGTTGGAGGAGGAGGAGGTGGAGGAGGAGGAGGACGAAGAGGAGGCGATGGATGGTGGCGATAACGGAGACGGATTTGCGACGGACACGAAAAAGAGGAGGAAAATTATGATGGTGATGCCATCGTTGCTGGGTGACGGTGGTGATGGTGGTGACGGTGGTGGTGATGGTGGTGATGGGGATGCAGCATTGTCCTTAGCCAGAGGTGAGTCATTCATTGAGGCACCGGCCCATTAATTCGGCTGCTCATTCATTCACACACTAATTTGTCCATTCACCCACCCACACCAACCCACCCATTCACTCATCCACCCACCCTCTCACTCGCCCACTCACCCACCCACTCATCCACCAACCCTCTCACTCACCTACCCACCCACCTTCTCACCCACCCAGCCACTCAGCCACCCACCCAGTCACTCATCCACCCACCCTCTCACCCACCACCCACTCAGCCACCCACCGACCCACTTGCCTACGTACTCACGCATCCACCCACTCATCCATCCCACGCTCTCACTCATCCAATCACCGTCTCACTCACCCACCCTCTCACCCACCCACCCACTCGCTCACCACCTACTCAGCCTCTCACCGACCCTCTCACTCTCTCACCCTCTCTCCCCAGGTGTGTCTCCGGCGAGCACTAGCCCAGGCCGCATGGTCACCTACCATTGCAAGCACTGTAGCTTCTACTCGTGCACGAACCTCCACGGCCTGCTCACGCACTACGGCAAGAAGCACCCCGAGGTGAAGGTCAAGATGTCGGACTTCCTGCGTCCCGAGGACCCCAAATACAACTCTGTGTACAAGTGTCGGCACTGCCCCTACACCAACACGCGCATCCACGGAGTGCTCACCCACTGCCAGAAGAGACATCCGGATGTCAAGGTGGGTGGGAGTATTTGTGGGAGTGTGTGGGTGGATGAGAGAGTGTGGGTGGGAGTGTGGGTGGGAGTGTGGGGGTTCCTGTGATGGATGTGAGCAATGCCATGGAGGGAATGGCCAATTACAAAATCTGCTATACCCCTTCATGGTGCTTAAAACCATCACAGTGGCCAAACGGGGTCTCTGGACGGGTGCGAGGGGCTGGTAACCCCTCCACCTTTAATACAAGTGTAGTGTCATCGGGGATGTCACTGTATGGTGCCGGCCCGGGAGGGCCGTGCCGTGCGATGTTCCTACATCGTGGACAGCACCGTGCTGGTGGCTGTGTGTAGTACCAGCCCTAGCGGGGACAGCACCGTGCGGGTGGCTGTGTGTAGTACCAGCCCTAGCGGGGACAGCACCGTGCGGGTGGCTGTGTGTAGTACCAGCCCTAGCGGGGACAGCACCGTGCTGGTGGCTGTGTGTAGTACCAGCCCTAGCGGGGACAGCACCGTGCTGGTGGCTGTGTGCGACACCAGCCCTAGCGGGGACAGCACCAAGCTGGAAGCTCAACATCTACAAGCTGGAAGCTCAACACCTACAAGCTGGAAGCTCAACGTCTACAAGCTGGAAGCTCAACACCTACAAGCTGGAAACTCAACACCTACAAGCTGGAAGCTCAACATCTACAAGCTAGAAGCTCAACACCTACAAGCTGGAAGCTCAACATCTACAAGATGGAAGCTCCACATCTACAAGCTGGAAGCTCAACATCTACAAGCTGGAAACTCAACACCTACAAGCTGGAAGCTCAACATCTACAAGATGGAAGCTCAACATCTACAAGATGGAAGCTCCACATCTACAAGCTGGAAGCTCAACATCTACAAGCTGGAAACTCCACATCTACAAGCTGGAAGCTCAACGTCTACAAGCTGGAAGCTCAACATCTACAAGATGGAAGCTCAACACCTACAAGCTGGAAACTCAACACCTACAAGCTGGAAGCTCAACACCTACAAGCTGGAAGCTCAACGTCTACAAGCTGGAAGCTCAACACCTACAAGCTGGAAGCTCAACATCTACAAGCTGGAAACTCAACGTCTACAAGCTCAACATCTACAAGCTGGAAGCTCAACATCTACAAGCTGGAAGCTCAACATCTACAAGCTGGAAGCTCTACACCTACAAGCTGGAAGCTCAACGCCTACAAGCTGGAAGCTCAACGTCTACAAGCTCAACATCTACAAGCTGGAAGCTCTACACCTACAAGCGGGAAGCTCAACATCTACAAGCTGGAAGCTCAACATCTACAAGCTGGAAGCTCAACATCTACAAGCTGGAAGCTCAACACCTACAAGCTGGAAGCTCAACATCTACAAGCTGGAAGCTCAACATCTACAAGCTGGAAGCTCAACATCTACAAGCTGGAAGCTCTACATCTACAAGCTGGAAGCTCAACATCTACAAGCTGGAAGCTCAACACCTACAAGCTGGAAGCTCAACACCTACAAGCTGGAAACTCAACATCTACAAGCTGGAAGCTCAACACCTACAAGCTGGAAGCTCAACACCTACAAGCTGGAAGCTCAACACCTACAAGCTGGAAGCTCAACGTCTACAAGCTCAACATCTACAAGCTGGAAGCTCTACACCTACAAGCGGGAAGCTCAACACCTACAACCTGGAAGCTCAACATCTACAAGCTGGAAGCTCAACACCTACAAGCTGGAAGCTCAACACCTACAAGCTGGAAGCTCAACACCTACAAGCTGGAAGCTCAACATCTACAAGCTGGAAGCTCAACATCTCTACAAGCTGGAAGCTCAACATCTACAAGCTGGAAGCTCAACACCTACAAGCTGGAAGCTCAACGTCTACAAGCTGGAAGCTCAACATCTACAAGCTGGAAACTCAACGTCTACAAGCTGGAAGCTCAACACCTACAAGCGGGAAGCTCAACACCTACAAGCGGGAAGCTCAACACCTACAAGCTGGAAGCTCAACACCTACAAGCTGGAAGCTCAACGTCTACAAGCTGGAAGCTCAACACCTACAAGCTGGAAGCTCAACACCTACAAGCTGGAAGCTCAACACCTACAAGCTGAAGCTCAACACCTACAAGCTGGAAGCTCAACATCTACAAGCTGGAAGCTCAACGTCTACAAGCTGGAAGCTCAACACCTACAAGCTGAAGCTCAACACCTACAAGCTGGAAGCTCAACATCTTCAAGCTGGAAGTTCAACGTCTACAAGCTGGAAGCTCAACACCTGGAAGCGGGAAGCTCAACACCTACAAGCTGGAAGCTCAACACCTACAAGCTGGAAGCTCAACACCTACAAGCTGGAAGCTCAACGTCTACAAGCTGGAAGCTCAACATCTACAAGCTGGAAACTCAACATCTACAAGCTGGAAGCTCAACACCTACAAGCTGGAAGCTCAACACCTACAAGCGGGAAGCTCAACACCAACAAGCTGGAAGCACAACACCTACAAGCTGGAAGCTCAACACCTACAAGCTGGAAGCTCAACGACTACAAGCTGGAAGCTCAACACCTACAAGCTGGAAGCTCAACACCTACAAGCTGGAAGCTCAACACCTACAAGCTGAAGCTCAACACCTACAAGCTGGAAGCTCAACATCTACAAGCTGGAAGCTCAACGTCTACAAGCTGGAAGCTCAACACCTACAAGCTGAAGCTCAACATCTTCAAGCTGGAAGTTCAACGTCTACAAGCTGGAAGCTCAACACCTGGAAGCGGGAAGCTCAACATCTACAAGCTGGAAACTCAACACCTACAAGCTGGAAGCTCAACATCTACAAGCTGGAAGCTCAACACCTACAAGCTGGAAGCTCTACACCTGGAAGCGGGAAGCTCAACGTCTACAAGCTGGAAACTCAACATCTACAAGCTGGAAACTCAACGTCTACAAGCTCAACATCTACAAGCTGGAAGCTCAACATCTACAAGCTGGAAGCTCTACACCTACAAGCTGGAAGCTCTACACCTGGAAGCGGGAAGCTCAACATCTACAAGCTGGAAGCTCAACACCTACAAGCTGGAAACTCAACGTCTACAAGCTCAACATCTACAAGCTGGAAGCTCAACATCTACAAGCTGGAAGCTCTACACCTACAAGCTGGAAGCTCTACACCTACAAGCTGGAAGCTCAACATCTAAAAGCGGGAAGCTCAACGACTACAAGCTGGAAGCTCAACACCTACAAGCTGGAAGCTCAACACCTACAAGCTGGAAGCTCAACACCTACAAGCTGGAAGCTCAACGTCTACAAGCTGGAAGCTCAACACCTACAAGCTGGAAGCTCAACGTCTACAAGCTGGAAACTCAACATTTACAAGCTGGAAGCTCAACACCTACAAGTTGGAAGCTCTACGTCTCAAGCTGTGAAGCTCTTCGTCCTACGAGACAACCACGTGGTCGGAGACCCGAGCGAGCGTCCGACCCTTCGTAGCGGTAACTTCTCTGTATAGTGTAGTTAGCTGGGTGGTCACCACCCTAAGCTGTATCTGGTAAAGGGGCAGTTTCCCCTTTGTGTTACGGTGTTACGATAAATGTGTTGCCTCTAAAAGGAACAACGTCTGCTACTCGGTTGTACTCACTACACAAGTACCGCGAAAAAAATGTAAAAAATCGAACAAAGCTTGTGCCCAAGGCCCCGGGGGGACAGGCGTCTATGACGTCTCCTGGCCAAACCACATTTCGCGGAGCCAGGAGACTGAATCCTTACCCTCGGGGCTCCTCCAGAAACGGCAAAAGCCATTGTGAGTGGCCACGTGTGGAATCTTCAAACGCTCACTGCGGAGGAGAGGCTGCCACTCCTCTGTCGGGAGCTGGATCGGTACCGCCTGGATCGCTGCGATATTCAGGAGGTCTGGTGCACTGGCTCTTGCACCATGCGGGGTGGATAGTCCTCTACTCAGGGCAGGAAACTGTCAAAAAAACAAGGAGTGGCTCTTATTCTGAACAAAAGAATGATGGGGACGTGTGAACGTGGCGGTGAGGTGTGGGAAGCTGTAAGCCCCAGGCTACTGTGGGCTCGCCTTCCCATCAACCAGAGGCGAAGAGTGGTGGTTGTGCTTATTTATGCCCCAACCAAAGATGAATATCAGTGGAGGGATGCAGGCAAGGCCGATGAGTCAGATGCCTTCTATGACCTCCTGTCACAGGTGCTAGCTAAAGTCGCCACTCGGGATAGAGACATCTTGTTGGGTGACTTCAATGCCCGAGTTGGTCATGATGCTGGCACCTGGTTTGGCGTGATTAGAAGGCATGGGCCAGATCAGCTCAATAACAAGAGTGGGAAGCTGCTAGACTTTTGTGCAGCCCATGGGCTTATAATTACCAACACGACATCATTGATGCACGCCAGGTCCAAGCAAGAGCATCTGCTGAACTATACAGTGACGGAACAGTGGATGCGGACCCGTGTCCTTGACACCAGGATCTACCATGGAGCTGATCTGACCACTGACCATCGGCTTGTCATCTGTAAGATGCGCCTGCCGTTCTTCCACTCCGGTGGTGGGTGTACATCCAGTACCCCATTTATTTGGAAGCCACTGGAGTTAGGGGCCGTCCATGAATGACGTCACCCACCTAGGGGAGGGGGGGGAGCTGGGGTCAGACATTTGTGACGATGTGTGACGATGGGGGGGAAGGGGGGGGTTTGAGAAATGTGACGTCACGTCAAAATGCGCAACTTTAAATAAATATTAATGAAATATAATTGTTATAACAACACTAATTTTGAAAGATTTTCATTGTTAACTAGTTGATTATTTCAACTAAGGTCGCCTTTTAATTATTCCACGAAGGAGCATTTTGCTTCTCCATGGGAGAATGGAGAAGCATGAATTTTGTTAATTTTTTTAATGTTTGTTACTAAACATTTTGATTTTAATGATTCTACCAGGGCTTTTCATTCTTTGGAATGAATATGTGATTGTTATAATTGTACTCTCCATTTTGCTTCGTTCTACTACAAAGTTTCAATTATTTTTTAAATAGTTATAATTACTTTTAATATTTTATAATTATAAGATAATTTCAATATAATATTCTGAACATCTGCAATTTTAGTTAGACGTTGAATATTTTCAAGTGAATTTTACGCTAAATTTCAGGTTTACTACACACCACACGCTCATTTGAGGCTAAGTCGACCTAGGAGAGGTCCATGACCAGATCAGATAATCGTCACTGGCGTTGCTAGCCGTGAGTGGGAATCGAACTTGGGTCACTGGGTTCGTAGCGCTAACCGCTACACCAACGCACCCCACATAGTTCAACACACACACTGACACTCACTAACATACACACTCATTAACAGAAAGACAAAGATCCCCCGTATAGCCTGTAACAGACTGTAGGGGCAAGTGCTGTTAGCGAGCACCTATGAAGGCCGGAACGGTACACGAGGGGGTGGGTGGCCAGCACCACGCCCGACCGCCTTTGTCTCCCCAGTGGCGATGTTTACTACACACCGCACCAGGTACTAATTCGAGGCTGAGTCGACCTAGGGGAGGCCCGGGACCGGTTCAGATAATCGTCACTTGGTGTTGGCCGTGAGCGGGAATCGAACCCCGGGTCGCCAGGTTCATAGCGCAGCTTAGCGCTAACCACAGCACCACCGCTCCCCACACTCACTAACACACACAGACACACACACAGACACCGACACACACTCACTAACACACAGACACACACACAGACACCGACACACACTCACTAACACACAGACACACACACAGACACCGACACACACTCACTAACACACACAGACACACACACAGACACCGACACACACTCACTAACACACACAGACACACACACAGACACCGACACACACTCACTAACACACACAGACACACACACAGACACCGACACACACTCACTAACACACACAGACACCGACACACACTCACTAACACACACAGACACACACACAGACACCGACACACACTCACTAACACACAGACACACACACAGACACCGACACACACTCCCACACCCACAGTGGCCTGGTCTTAGTTTAACTGGCCCCCTTACCAACCCCCCCCACCACCACCACCCTCCACGACCTCCCCGCCCGACCCCTGCAGGTGACCGCCGACGACTTTCTGCGCGACGCCGAGTTCACCCCGAGCTGCGGGGTCTCCCCGTGCCCCTCCAGCCCCCTGTCCAAGCCCAGCTTCGGGGCCTACCGCTGCCCGCTGTGCCCCTACGCCCACTCCAGCCTGGACAAGCTGCGGGCGCACTGCCAGCGCCAGCACTCCCGCGCCAGCCTGGCCGGCGCCTCCGGTGCTCACTCCTCCCTCTTCCTGCCGCCTCCACCGCCTCCGCCGCCGCCTCACCGCCACGCCCCACAGCAGCCCCACCGCCACGCCGGCGTCTCGGCTTCGTCGTCCCCCACGGCCGCCCCCCTCTCGGCGTTCTTCGCCACCTCCTCGTCGCTCTCCTCGCCGACCCTCGTGCCCCTCTCCTCCTCGTCCGCCCGCTTCCGCGCCAGCATCGCGGGAACGCTGCCGCCGCCGCCGCCGCCGCCCGCGTCCGGGATTCCGGTGGGGCCGGGGTCTGGGTTGGGGCCGTCCCAGCAGCAGCCGCAGCAGCAGCAGCAGCAGCAGCAGCGTCACCACCGCTACTTGTCGCTGGCTTCGCCGCTTCCGCAGCTACCGCCGGCAAAGTCTCCGTTGGCCACCGCCGGTGGAGCGCAGCAGCAGCAGCGGCAGCAGCAGCGGCAGCGGCAGCGGCAGCGCTCCGGCTCTCCCCTTGGAACGTTCCTCCAAATCTTCTCCTCCGCTGCGTCTCCCTCGGATCGCTCGGCGGATTCCTTCTCCTCCTCCTCCGGCGGCGGTACCGGCGCCGGTGGTGGTACCGGCGCCGGCGGTACCGGCGGCGGCGGCGGCAACACCGGCCGGAGGATGGTTTCCTCCTTCCCGGAGCCCGGGCGCGCCGTCTTCCGCTGCCGCCTTTGCCGCTACGCTTGCGGCACTCGCAAGGGCATCGCCCGCCACTACCGCCTGACCCACAGCGACGTGCGGGCGCAGCCCGCCGGAGGCCTGAACCTGTTCGCGTGCACGCTGTGCGCCTACACCCACCCGCTGCGCAAGGGGCTCGCATCGCACTACCAGAAGCGCCACGGGGACATCGAGGCCTACTACACCCACTGCCTGGCCGCCCTCTGGGACGTGACGCCCGAGGGAAAGGCCGTTCCCGTAGTGGGGGCAGCAGCGGGAATGGGACTGGGGGCACCGGGAGGACCGGGAGGACTGGGAGGACTGGGAGGACTGGGAGGAGGAGGAGGGCTCGGAGCTGTGGGGCTGGGATCTGGCATCGGGAGGCTGTCAGCCGGAGCTGCGGCCGGTTCCACGGCCGGAGTCGTGGGGCTGGGATCTGGCAGGAAGGCGGTGATTCTGGACGGCGCTGGGAAGGTAACCTTGGGGCGGTGGTGGAGGTGATGGTGGAGGTGGTGGTGTGGTGGTGGTGGTGGTGGTGTGGTGGTGGTGGTGGTGGTGGTCGTGGAGGTGATGGTGTTGTGGTGGTGGTGGAGTTGTAGGTGGTGGTGGTGGTGTTGTGGTGGTGGTGGAGTTGTAGGTGGTGGTGGAGGTGGTGTGGTGGTGGTGGTGTGGTGGTGGTGGTGGAGGTGATGGTGTTGTGGTGGTGGAGTTGTAGGTGGTGGTGGAGGTGGTGGTGTGGTGGTGGTGGTGGTCTAGCAAAAAACAAGCTCCGACTTCCTCGGCCGTGTCGGACGGTAACGATTGGGTGGATGTGAGCAATGGCGTGGAGGAAAAGCCAATTCCAAAATCGGCTGTTGCCCCTCATGGTGCTTATAGCCACCACAGTGGCCAAATGGGGGCTCCGAATTTTAATGACCACAAAAGCACGTGAAAAATATATTGCTAAGCTTGTGCCGGAGGCCCCGTGGAGACTTGTGTCTGTGACATCCCCTGGCCAAAACCCCATTTAGCGGAGCCAGGAGACTGAATCCTTCCCCTCGGGGTTCCTCCAGGAACAGCAAAAAGCCATGGCAAGCGGCCACATGGAATGTGTGAACACTCCAGAGAAGAGGCTGCCACTCCTCTGCTGGGAGCTGGACCGGTACCGCCTGGATCTCTGCGGTATTCAGGAGGTCCGGTGGACCGGCTCTGGCTCCAGCCACCATGAGGAGTGGACAGCCCTCTACTCGGGGCAGGAGACTGCCAAACAACGGGGTGGCTCTCCTTCTGAACAAAACACTGAAGGGGGTGTGGGAGCGTGATGGTGATGTGTGGGATGCTGTAAGCCCCATGCTACTTGTGCGCTTGCCTTCCCTTGAACCAGAGGTGAGCAGTGGTGGTTACTTATGCCCCCACCGAAGATGAACATCGGTGAAGGGATGCAGGCAAGGCCAAAGAGTCAGATGCCTTCTATGACCTCCTGTCACAGGTGCTGGCTAAAGTGGCCCTTCGGGACAGAGACATCCTGTTGGGTGACTTTAATGCCCGCGTGGGTCATGATACTGGCACCTGGTCTAGAGTGATTAGAAGGCATGGGCCAGATCAGCTCAATAACAACGGTAGGAGGCTGCTAGACTTTTGTACACCCCATGGGCTTGTAATTACCAACACGCTGTTCCGGCATCGGCGCATCCACACAACATCATGGATACATGCCGGGTCTAAGCAAGAACATCTGCTGGACTATACAGTGACGGAACAACGGATGCGGGCTCATGTCCTTGACACCAGGGCGTACTGTGCAGCTGATCTGTTCACTGACCATCGGCTTGTCATCTGTAAGATGCGCCTGCCATTCTTCCACTCCGGTACATCTTGGACCCCAATGAATCCCACAGTGGCCTGATCTCGGCTATCTGATGAAAGTTGCAAGTGAGAATTTCATCATCACTTGCAGCTGGGGTTGGCACCATCCCCCTTCACTCCTCTTGATGTTAAGGGGAAATGGACATGGTTTAGGACTGTGGCTCATGCATCTACAATGGCTGCTTTGGGTACATGGTTCCAACCTCCCCAGAGACCCTGGCTGACGGAGGAGGTGTTCCGACTGGCTGAGAAAAAGCGACAGACCCACTTCCAACATCTACAGCATCCCACATCGGAGAATGAGGAGGCTTACCGCAGCCTTCGCTCGGAGTCTGCCTAAATAGCCCGCAATCATGAATCACTTCTTTAACTCCATCAAAAAAGTAACTTGCAGCACCACACCTATCACAATCATTAGGGGAAAGAGAGGTTATCCGATCTGAGACCCCCAGGTTTGCAGAATTGCTGAGCGTTTCTGTGATACCATCAATAGGCTCTGGGTTGTACCCTGACTACATGGCCGGGAGTCGGAGCCTTTCCCTGTTCACCTTGGGGTGTGACAGGGATGTCCTCTGGCTTCCACATTATTTCATGTTTTTTGACCACGTATTTCATGAAGCCTTCTATGGCTGTACTGGAGGAATTTCCATCTGGTGCAGATACAATGAGAGGCTGATTGATGCCCGGGTGCAGCAAAGTGATGGCTCCCTATTGGTCAACCATGTTATGTATGCTGATGATCTGGTGATTGCTGCTCATTCAGAGGAGGAGTTGGAGGTGCTGCTGATGAACCTGGAGCTTGCCACTAAGAGGTGGGGCCTTACCATCAGCCCCACCAAAACTAAGCACCTGCCTGAGTATTTTGTGCCATTGATGATGATGGTTATGATGATGATGGTGGTGATGAACCTGGAGCTTGCCACTATGAGCTTGGGCCCTTACCATCAGCCCCACCAAAACTAAGCACCTGCCTGATTATTTAGTACCATCAGACACTCCACGCCTCAAATCCCCAATAAGGAGACAGTGGAGAGTTTTCCATACCTGGGCAGTATGCTTACGACCAGCTCCGGTTTTACAGCAGAGGTCTCACTCTGAATCAGTCGAGCGGCATTATTTTTTCATCGACTGCGTAACGCTGTGTGGAAGCTACCTGGTCTGTCGTTTCACACGAAGTTTCGGATCTTCTCAGTCACAGTCATTCCCTCCCTTCTCTACGCTTGCAAAACGTGGGCCCCCTCATGGAACATCTTCACCGGTTAGATACTTGTAGGCTGGCCTGCTTACGATCCATCCTAGGTTTAACCAGGCTGGATTGTGTGAGGAGCTCACAAATCCTTGAAAGATCTGGGCAAAGTTCCTTTGGTCAGCTCCTCTGGCAGGCAAGGCTGCGTTGGCTGGGTCTTGTAGTCCGCATGCTTTGCCACTGCATGCCTAAGCCGATTTTGTTTGGTCGAATAGAGGAGGCTAGACGGCCACGGCACGGGCTAGAGAAGAGGTGGAGTGATGTGGTACAGGAGGACGTGGAGCTGATTGGACTTGCCAATGACCTCTGCGGGGGAGGCTTGTGAAGGATGCTTACAACAACAAGCAAAGCACCAGGTGGCTAAAACACAGCAAGTTGGTACTTGAGGGTGCACAGGTGGTGCATCGGCCACTCATCTCGGTCAGTCGAACCCGTGGCACCTGCTGGATCTGTCCCGTAACCTCCTGCCAGTGGGCGTTCGACACTTCGCGTGGCTTTAACGTGCACATAGCCTGGCACAAGTGCCGTGGTGATGACACTGTCACTTGGTGAATGGCTGTTGTGGTGGAGAGCAGTAGAGTTTAGGGAGGGTGGGGGTGTGTGGTGGATGGCGGAGAAATACATTGAGCTGTGGGTCTGGGATCTGGCAGTAAGGCGGTGATTCTGGACGGCGCTGGGAAAGGTAACCTTGGGGTGGAGGGGGTGCCAGTGTGTGGTGGAGGTGGTGTGATGTGGTGGAGGGGATGGGGGGGGGGTAGCTTCGTGGTGGTGGTGATGTAGTTTGTGAGGATGGCAATGATGGTGATGATGTAGTTTGTGAGGATGGCAATGATGGTGATGATGTTGGTGATGGTTGTGATGATGATGGTGGTGATGTAGTCTGTGAGGATGGCAGCGATGGTGATGATGGTGGTGATGGTGGTGATGGTGGTGATGATGATGGTTATGATGATGATGGTGGTGATGTAGTCTGTGAGGATAGCAACGATGGTGATGATGGTGGTGATGGTGGTGATGATGATGGTATTGATGATGATGGTTATGATGATGATGGTGGTGATGTAGTTTGTGAAGATAGCAGCGATGGTGATGATGGTGGTGATGGTATTGATGATGATGGTTATGATGGTGATGATGGTGGTGATGGTATTGATGATGATGGTTATGATGATGATGATGGTGGTGATGGTATTGATGATGATGGTTATGATGATGATGGTGGTGATGGTATTGATTATTAAGGTTATGATGATGACAGTGGTGATGGCGGTGATGGTATTGGTGATGATGGTGGTGATGGTGGTGATGGTATTGATGATGATGGTTATGATGATGATGGTGGTGATGTTGGTGATGGTATTGATGATGATGGTTATGATGATGATGGTGGTGATGGTATCGATGATGATGGTGATGGTGGTGATGGTGATGGTTATGATGATGGTTATGATGATGGTTATGATGATTATGGTGTGATGGTATTGATGGTGGTGATGGTATTAATGATGATGGTGGTGATGGTGGTGATGGTGATGGTTATGATGGTGGTGATGATGATGGTTATGATGATGGTTATGATGATTATGGTGGTGATGGTATTGATGGTGGTGATGGTATTAATGATGATGGTGGTGATGGTGGTGATGATGATGGTATTGATGATGGTGGTGATGATGATGGTTATGGTGGTGATGGTATTGATGGTGGTGATGGTGGTGATGGTATTAATGATGGAGGTGATGATGATGGTATTGATGATGATGGTGGTTATGGTATTGATGGTGGTGATGGTATTGATGATGATGGTGGTGATGGTATTGATGGTGATGGTATTGATGGTGATGGTATTGATGGTGGTGATGATGATGATGGTATGAATGATGATGGTGGTGGTGATGGTGGTGATGATGATGGTATTAATGATGATGGTGGTGGTGATGGTGGTGATGTAGTCTGTGAGGATGGCAGCGATGGGTGAACTCCGGAGAGGGCCAGAGCGGTGGTTGCCGTGGCGATGTTCATTCTGCGCCTTCCAGACGGAGACCAAGAAGGGCATCGTGTCTCACTACCTCAAGGTACTCACTCACCTACTCGCTCACCTACTCGCTCACCTACTCGCTCACCTACTCCCCACCTACTCACTCACCTACTCACTTATCTGCTCACTCACCTACTCACCCACTTGCTCACCCACCCGCTCACCCACCCGCTCACCTACTCGCTCACCTGCTCGATCACCTGTTCACTCACCTACTCACCCACCTACTCACCCACCCGCTCACCTACTCGCTCACCTACTCGCTCACCTACTCGCTCACCTACTCACCCACCTACTCACCTACTCGCTCACCTACTCACTCACCCACCACTCACTCACCTACTCACTCACCTGCTAACTCACCTACTCACCCACCTACTTGCTCACCTACTCGCTCACCTACTTGCCCACCTACTCATTCACCTACTCATTCACCTACTCACTCACCTACTTGCTCACTTACTCACCCACCTACTCACTCACCTACTCACTCACCTACTCACTCACCTACTCACTCACCTACTCACTCACCTACTCACTCACCCATCCACTCGCCAGACCTCACGGTACCACTGACCAACCTCGCTCACAGAACTTGCCCCAACTCTTATGTTAAGGCTACACGGGGGGCCTTTGCCTTTGTGTGTGCGGCATGCAGAAGCACCCAGGCATGTACCCCAAGAAGAAATACTCGTCCAAGCTTCGCGAGTACTTCAGAGTCGTCTACGTGGAGAGTGGAGTAGCCGCTTCCACCACCACCACCACCGCCACCACAGCAGCAGCAGCAGCTCCCACGCCACAGCTCCCGCCATATCGGTGAGTGGGTGGTTGAGTGTGTGAGTAGGTGGGTGGGTGAGTGAGTGAGTGGGTGAGTAGGTGGGTGAGTGAGTGGGTGAGTGAGTGGGTGGGTGAGTGGGTGGGTGGGTGAGTGAGCGGGTGGGTGAGTTGGTGGGTGAGTGAGTGGGTGGGTGGGTGAGTGGGTGGGTTAGTTCATAGGTGGGTGAGTGGGTGGGTTAGTTAATAGGTAGGTGATTGGGTGGGTGAGTGGGTCGGTGAGTGGGTGGGTGAGTGGGTGGGTGGGTGAGTGGGTTAGCTAATAGGTAGGTGAGTGGGTGAGTGAGTGGGTGTGTGAGTGGGTGGGTTAATTAATAGGTGGGTGAGTGGGTCGGTGAGTGGGTGGGTTAGTTAATAGGTAGGTGAGTGGGTGAGTGAATAGGTGGGTGGTTGAGTGGGTGGGTGGGTGGGTGAGTGGGTGGGTTAGTTCATAGGTGGGTGAGTGGGTGATTGGGTGGGTGAGTGGGTGGGTTAGTTAATAGGTAGGTGAGTAGGTGATTGGGTGGGTGAGTGGGTGGGTTAGTTAATAGGTAGGTGAGTGGGTGATTGGGTGGATGAGTGGGTGGGTTAGTTAATAGGTAGGTGGGTGGGTGAGTGAGTAGGTGAGTGAGTAGGTGATTGGTTGATAGGGTGGGTGAGTGGCTGGGTGAATGGATAGGTGGTTGGGTGATTGGGTGGATGAGTTGGTGGGTTAGTTAATAGGTAGGTGAGTGGGTGAGTGGGTGCGTTAGTTAATAGGTAGGTGGGTGGGTGATTGGGAGGATGGGTGGGTGGGTTAGTTAATAGGTAGGTGAGTGGGTGTGTGTGGTATAGCTAATAGGTGGGTGGGTGGGTGGGTGAATGGATAGGTGGGTGGGTGAGTGGCTGGGTCAATGGATAGATGGGTGGGTGAGTGGTTGTGTGAATGGATAGATGGGTGGGTGAGTGGCTGTCTAAATGGATAGGTGGGTGGGTGAGCGGCTGGGTGAATGGATAGGTGGGTGGGTGAGCGGCTGGGTGAATGGATAGGTGGGTGGGTGAGCGGCTGGGTGAATGGATAGGTGGGTGGGTGGGTGGCTGAGTGGGTGTGTGAGTGAGTGGCTGGGTGAGTGGCTGTGTGGGTGTGTGAGTGGGTGGGTGGGTGGCTGGGTGAATGGATATGTGGGTTGGTGAGTGGCTGGGTGATTGGATAGGTGGGTGAGTGGCTGGGTGAATGGATAGGTGGGTGGGTGAGTGGCTGTCTGAATGGATAGGTGGGTGAGCGGCTGGGTGAATGGATAGGTGAGTGGTTGAGTGGCTGGGTGAATGGATAGGTGGGTGGGTGGGTGGCTGAGTGGGTGTGTGAGTGAGTGGCTGGGTGAGTGGCTGTGTGGGTGTGTGAGTGGGTGGGTGGGTGGCTGGGTGAATGGATAGGTGGGTGGGTGGCTGAGAGAGTGGGTGGCTGAGTGGTTGGGTGGGTGGCTGAGTGGCTGGGTGGCTGGCTGACTGAGTGGGTACTTCAAAGGAGTCTACCACTACTATATGGTTCTTTCGGTAAAGTCACGTAGGTATAAAATAAAATAAATCACGATGTTTCGGGCGCAGCAGAAGCGTCCATCAGGTGATGACTTTACCGAGAGAACCAAAGATTATGGATCCCTGCAGTCACGAAAGCTTCAAATCAAGACTGAGTCTACCACCACCACCACCATGGTCCTGATCACCACCACCACCACCACCCTACCGGGCACCACTGCACTTGCCCCTGCGGCTAGCTGGAGGCTACCTGGGGTGCCGTTGCCTTGTGCAGGTGCGTGAGCTGCGCTGAGTCGGAGTTCGAGGACCTGGGGACTCTGGCGGCGCACTACACGGAGACTCACAGCCACCAGTTCCCGCGCGAGTTCTCGGTGAGTCCGGGGTGCAGATTAAGGGCAGTGTTGAGTCTATGGGCAGTGTTGAGTCTATGGGCAGTGTTGAGTCTATGGGCAGTGTTGAGTCTATGGGCAGTGTTGAGTCTATGGGCAGTGCTGAGTCTGTGGGCAGTGTTGAGTCTATGGGCAGTGTTGAGTCTATGGGCAATGTTGAGTCTATGGGCAGTGTTGAGTCTATGGTGCAGTATTGAGTCTATGGTGCAGTGTTGAGTCTACGGTGCAGTGCTGAGTCTATGGGCAGTGTTGAGTCTATGGTGCAGTGCTGAGTCTATGGGCAGTGTTGAGTTTATGGACAGTGCTGAGTCTATGGGCAGTGTTGAGTCTATGGACAGTGCTGAATTGATGGTGCAGTGTTCAGTCTATTGATAGTGGTGAGTCTATGGTGCAATGTTGAGTCTATGTGCAGTGTTGAGTCTGGGCAGTGTTGAGTCTACGGTGCAGTGTTGAGTCTATGGGCAGTGTTGAGTCTATGGGCAGTGTTGAGTCTATGGTGCAGTGTTGAGTCTATGTGCAGTGTTGAATCAATGGGCAGTGTTGAGTCTATGGGCAGTGTTGAGTCTATGGGCAGTGTTGAGTCTATGGGCAGTGCTGAGTCTATGGGCAGTGTTGAGTCTATGGACAGTGTTGAGTCTATGGTGCAGTGCTGAGTCTATGGTGCAGTGTTGAGTCTATGGTGCAGTGTTGAGTCTATGGGCAGTGTTGAGTCTATGGGCAGTGTTGAGTCTATGGGCAGTGCTGAGTCTATGGGCAGTGTTGAGTCTATGGGCAGTGTTGAGTCTATGGTGCAGTGTTGAGTCTATGCGCAGTGCTGAGTCTATGGGCAGTGTTGAGTCTATGGGCAGTGTTGAGTCTATGGGCAGTGTTGAGTCTATGGTGCAGTGTTGAGTCTATGGGCAGTGTTGAGTCTATGGGCAGTGTTGAGTCTATGGTGCAGTGCTGAGTCTATGGTGCAGTGCTGAGTCTATGGTGCAGTGTTGAGTCTGTGGACAGTGTTGAGTCTATGGTGCAGTGTTGAGTCTATGGGCAGTGTTGAGTCTATGGGCAGTGCTGAGTCTATGGTGCAGTATTGAGTCTATGGTGCAGTCTTGAGTCTATGGGCAGTGTTGAGTCTATGGGCAGTGTTGAGTCTATGGGCAGTGCTGAGTCTATGGTGCAGTGTTGAGTCTATGGTGCAGTGTTGAGTCTATGGGCAGTGTTGAGTCTATGGTGCAGTGTTGAGTCTATGGGCAGTGTTGAGTCTATGGGCAGTGTTGAGTCTATGGGCAGTGTTGAGTCTATGGGCAGTGTTGAGTCTATGGTGCAGTGTTGAGTCTATGGGCAGTGTTGAGTCTATGGGCAGTGTTGAGTCTATGGTGCAGTGTTGAGTCTATGGTGCAGTGTTGAGTCTATGGGCAGTGCTGAGTCTATGGGCAGTGTTGAGTCTATGGGCAGTGTTGAGTCTATGGGCAGTGTTGAGTCTATGGTGCAGTGTTGAGTCTATGGTGCAGTGCTGAGTCTATGGTGCAGTGTTGAGTCTGTGGACAGTGTTGAGTTTATGGTGCAGTGTTGAGTCTATGGGCAGTGTTGAGTCTATGGGCAGTGCTGAGTCTATGGGCAGTGTTGAGTCTATGGGACAGTGTTGAGTCTATAGTGCAGTGCTGAGTCTATGGTGCAGTGTTGAGTCTATGGGCAGTGTTGAGTCTATGGTGCAGTGTTGAGTCTATGGGCAGTGTTGAGTCTATGGGCAGTGTTGAGTCTATGGGCAGTGCTGAGTCTATGGTGCAGTGTTGAGTCTATGGTGCAGTGTTGAGTCTATGGGCAGTGTTGAGTCTATGGTGCAGTGTTGAGTCTATGGGCAGTGTTGAGTCTATGGGCAGTGTTGAGTCTATGGGCAGTGTTGAGTCTATGGGCAGTGTTGAGTCTATGGTGCAGTGTTGAGTCTATGGGCAGTGTTGAGTCTATGGGCAGTGTTGAGTCTATGGTGCAGTGTTGAGTCTATGGTGCAGTGTTGAGTCTATGGGCAGTGCTGAGTCTATGGGCAGTGTTGAGTCTATGGGCAGTGTTGAGTCTATGGGCAGTGTTGAGTCTATGGTGCAGTGTTGAGTCTATGGTGCAGTGCTGAGTCTATGGTGCAGTGTTGAGTCTGTGGACAGTGTTGAGTCTATGGTGCAGTGTTGAGTCTATGGGCAGTGTTGAGTCTATGGGCAGTGCTGAGTCTATGGTGCAGTATTGAGTCTATGGTGCAGTCTTGAGTCTATGGGCAGTGTTGAGTCTATGGTGCAGTGCTGAGTCTATGGTGCAGTGTTGAGTCTATGGGCAGTGCTGAGTCTGTGGACAGTGTTGAGTCTATGGGCAGTGTTGAGTCTATGGGACAGTGTTGAGTCTATAGTGCAGTGCTGAGTCTATGGTGCAGTGTTGAGTCTATGGTGCAGTGTTGAGTCTGTGGGCAGTGTTGAGTCTATGGGCAGTGTTGATTCTATGGGCAGTGCTGAGTCTATGGGCAGTGCTGAGTCTGTGGACAGTGCTGAGTCTATGGGCAGTGTTGAGTCTATGGACAGTGTTGAGTCTATGAACAGTGTTGAGTCTATGGGCAGTGCTGAGTTTGTGGACAGTGCTGAGTCTATGGTGCAGTGTTGAGTCTATGGGCAGTGCTGAGTCTATGATGCAGTATTGAGTCTATGGTGCAGTGTTGAGTCTACGGTGCAGTGCTGAGTCTATGGGTAGTGTTGAGTCTATGGTGCAGTGCTGAGTCTATGGGCAGTGTTGAGTCTATGGACAGTGCTGAATTGATGGTGCAGTGTTCAGTCTATTGATAGTGGTGAGTCTATGGTGCAATGTTGAGTCTATGTGCAGTATTGAGTCTATGGGCAGTGTTGAGTCTATGTGCAGTGTTGAGTCAATGGGCAGTGTTGAGTCTATGGGCAGTGCTGAGTCTATGGGCAGTGCTGAGTCTATGGGCAGTGCTGAGTCTATGGGCAGTGCTGAGTCTATGGGCAGTGCTGAGTCTATGGGCAGTGGTGAGTCTATGGGCAGTGTTGAGTCTATGGGCAGTGTTGAGTCTATGGGCAGTGTTGAGTCTATGAGCAGTGCTGAGTCTATGGGCAGTGCTGAGTCTATGGGCAGTGTTGAGTCTATGGGCAGTGTTGAGTTTATGGGCAGTGTTGAGTCTATGGGCAGTGCTGAGTCTATGGTGCTGTGTTGAGTCTATGGATAGTCTTCTTTGGTTCTTTCGGTAAAGTCACGTAGAATGAGAATAAAATAATAAATTGATAAAATAAAATAACACAATAATATTCTCACGACGTTTCGGCCACAACACAAGCGGCCTTCATCAGGTGAAGGGACGAGACTGTCTGGTAGGACAGTGCTGGAGTGAAAAAGCCACGTTCAGATCACGACCTTTAAGCTGTGTGAGAGGAAACAAAGCGCCTTGACAAAGGAATTAGCATATAATTTAGCATTGAAATGGGTGAGTGATTAGCTTGTGACTGGTCACAGAAATGGCTATGTTAAAAGTTAAAGCATACACATCCGCAGAGGCACCCCTTGACAAAGGAATTAGCATAGAATTTAGCATTGAAATAGCTAAGTTAAAGCATACACATCCACAGAGGCACCCCTTGACAAAGGAATTAGCATAGAATTTAGCATTGAAATGGCTGAGTGATTAGCTTGTAACTGGTCACAGAAATAGCTATGTTAAAGTTAGAGCATACACATTCACCGAGGCACTTAGTACAAATCAAACAGGATAATTTAGCATTGAAATAACTAGGCGAATTTAGCATTGAAATAACTGAGTGATTAGCTAGTGACTGGTCACAGAAATGGCTATGTTGAAGTCAAGGCCTACACATCTGAGCTATTCACAGTACTATATAGTGCTTGTATATGTGGATGGCCTCATGAACGAATCTCTCATGGTAGCCGGTTGGCTTGCAAAGAACCTCCGTCTTGGAGAAGTCAATGTCATGTGAGCCCACTGAATTATAACAGTGATCTGCCATGGCAGAGGAGTTCGTTCTACCGTGTTTCAAGTCTGCTTTATGTTCGCGGATGCGGTCCGAGATATGTCGTTTTGTGATATATAACGACTTATTGTTGGCAGCTTAGCTGATTGGAGAATATAGAGTTTGTTGATAACATTAAGGTAATTTATATTTTAGTTTTTTATTGGTTCACTATATAGTACTGTGAATAGCTCAGATGTGTAGGCCTTGACTTCAACATAGCCATTTCTGTGACCAGTCACTAGCTAATCACTCAGTTATTTCAATGCTAAATTCGCCTAGTTATTTCAATGCTAAATTATCCTGTTTGATTTGTACTAAGTGCCTCGGTGAATGTGTATGCTCTAACTTTAACATAGCTATTTCTGTGACCAGTTACAAGCTAATCACTCAGCCATTTCAATGCTAAATTCTATGCTAATTCCTTTGTCAAGGGGTGCCTCTGCGGATGTGTATGCTTTAACTTAGCTATTTCAATGCTAAATTCTATGCTAATTCCTTTGTCAAGGGGTGCCTCTGCGGATGTGTATGCTTTAACTTTAACATAGCCATTTCTGTGACCAGTCACAAGCTAATCACTCAGCCATTTCAATGCTAAATTCTATGCTAATTCCTTTGTCAAGGTGCTTTGTTTCTTCTCACACAGCTTAAAGGTCGTGATCTGAACGTGGCTTTTTCACTCCAGCGCTGTCCTACCAGACAGTCTCGTCCCTTCACCTGATGAAGGCCGCTTGTGTTGTGGCCGAAACGTCGTGAGAATTTTATTGTGTTATTTTATTTTATCAATTTATTATTTTATTCTCATTCTACGTGACTTTACCGAAAGAACCAAAGAAGATGAATCATTGCAGTCACGAAAGCTTTAAATTGAAATCTATGGATAGTGTTACCCACAATGCACCGCTCCTGATCTCGGACCCCTTCTCCCTCTGCCCAGATTCAGGAGGAGAGAGACACGGAGAGAGACAAGGAGAGAGACAAGGAGGGGAACACAGAGGGGGACACAGAGGGAGACAAGGAGGGAGACAAGGAGGAGGACACGGAGGGAGACAAGGAGGGCGACAAGGAGGGAGACAAGGAGGGAGACACTGAGGGAGACACTGAGGGAGACACGGAGAGAGACACGGAGAGAGACAAGGAGGGAAACATGGAGGGAAACACGGAGGGAGACAAGGAGGGAGACAAGGAGGGAGACACGGAGGGAGACACGAAGGGAGACACGAAGGGAGACACGAAGGGAGACACGGAGGGAGACACGGAGGGAGACACAGAGGGGGCCGGCCGGCTATCGTGTCTCTCCTGTGGACTGATCGTCCGCTCTGTGGGGGACATGGGGAGACACCTGGAGCAGCACGGGGATGCGGGGAGACATGCCGGCGAGACCCGCGGGGGACAGGGAGACAACGCGGGGGGACAGGGAGACAACGCGGCTGAGGTGAGAGATGCGGGGAGACTCGGGGTAGACTTGGGGTGACTCAGAAACGCGGGGAGTCTAAGGGAGATGACACGGGGAGACACGGGAAGACTCTGGGAGACACGAGGAGACTCTGGGAGACTCTGGGAGACTCTGGGAGACACGGGGAGACTCTGGGAGACACGGGGAGACTCTGGGAGACACGGAGAGACTCGGTGAGACACGGGGAGACTCAACGTGGGGAGTCTCGGAGAAACGACACGGGGAGACTTGGGGAGACTAGGGAAGACACGGGGAGACTTGGGGAGACACGGGGAGACTAGGGAAGACACGGGGAGACTTGTGAAGACACGGGGAGACTTGAGGAGACGGGAGACTTGGGGAGACACGGGGAGACTTGGGGAGACACGGGGAGACTAGGGGAGACACGGGGAGACTTGGGGAGACACGGGGAGACTAGGGAAGACACGGGGAGACTAGGGAAGACACGGGGAGACTTGGGGAGACACGGGGAGACTAGGGAAGACACGGGGAGACTTGTGAAGACACGGGGAGACTTGAGGAGACGGGAGACTTGGGGAGACACGGGGAGACTTGGGGAGACACGGGGAACCTCGGTGAGATGCGGGGAGACTTGGGGAGACACGGAGAGACACGGGGAGACTTGGGGAGACACGGGGAGACACGGGGAGACTTGGAGAGACACGGGAGACTTGGGGAGACACGGGGAGACTTGGGGAGACACGGGGAGACTTGGGGAGACACGGGGAGACTAGGGGAGACACGGGGAGACTTGGGGAGACACGGGGAGACTTGGGGAACCTCGGTGAGATGCGGGGAGACTCGTGATGGTCAGTGTTGTTGAGCCGGCTTGTATAATCACCCCCCCCCCACCCGCCCCACCCCCGTAGCCCGAGTACAGTGAGATTGCGGGCTATCAGTGCCGCTTCTGTGGAGAAACTCACCACTCAATGAAGGCCATCGCCAACCACTTACGCAAGCACGTGAGCCACCCACCACCCACCCACCACCACCCACCACCACCCACCCACCACCCACTCACCCACCCACCACCCACTCACCCACCTACTCACCCACCCACCACCCACTCACCCACCCACCACCCACTCACCACCCACTCACCCACCCACCCACCACCCACCCACCCACCACCACCCACTCACCCACCCACTCACTCACCCACCACCCACTCACCACCACCACCCACCCACCACCCACCTACTCACTCACCACCCACCACCCACCCACCACCCACCCACCACCCACCTACTCACTCACCACCCACCACCCACCCACCACCCACCCACCACCCACCCACCACCCACCACCACCCACCCACCACCCACTCACCACCCACTCACCCACCCACTCACCCACCTACTCACTCACCTTACCCACTCACCCACCCACCACCCACTCACCCACCACCCACCCACCACCCACCACCCACCCACCACCCACCTACTCACTCACCACCCACCACCACCCACTCACCCACCCACCACCCACCCACAACCCACCCACCACCCACTCACCCACCCACCACCCACCCACTCACTCACCTTACCCACTCACCTTACCCACTCACCTCATCCACTCACTCACCCACTTAGTTATTTATACACTCACCCACTCATTCACTAAGCCACCCACTCAAACATTCACTCATTTACTCACCCACCTACTCACCCACCACCCACCCACCCACCCACCACCCACCCACCACTCACCCACCCACCACCCACCCACTCACTCACCTTACCCACTCACCTCATCCACTCACTCACCCACTTAGTTATTTATACACTCACCCACTCATTCACTAAGCCACCCACTCACCCACCCACCACCCACTCACCCACCCACCACCCACCTACTCACTCACTCACCCACCCACCACCCACTCACCCACCCACCACCCACCCACTCACTCACCTTATCCATTCACCTCATCCACTCACTCGCCCACTTAGTTATTTATACACTCACCCACTCGTTCACTAAGCCACCCACTCAAACATTCACTCATTTACTCACCCACCTACTCACCCACCTACCCACCCACCCACTCACCACCCACCCACCACCACCCACCCACCACCCACTCACCCACCCACCACCCACTCACCCACCACCCACCTACTCACTCACCTTACCCACTCACCTCATCCACTCACTCACCCACTTAGTTATTTATACACTCACCCACTCGTTCACTAAGCCACCCACTCAAACATTCACTCATTTACTCACCCACCTACTCACCCACCTACCCACCCACTCACCACTCCATCAAAGCCATTGCGAATAATCTCCGCAAGCACGAGCTAGATGCACTGTATTCCTCAATGTGCCCACTGTACAACCCCACACACTGTACTCACTGTACACACTGTAACCCCCCCCTCCCCAACTGTACTCGCTGTTCTCACTGTCTTTTCGTACCCCACAAAGATCCCCTGTGTAGCCTTAAGAGACTGAGCGGGCCAAGCGCTTTTATTGGCAAGTAGTAGCAGCGCCTATGAAGTCCGGCACTGTGGACACACGAAGCGGGGGTGGGTGGCCAGCACCGCGCCTGGCCGCCTTTGTCTCCCCAGTGGTGACGTTCATTACGCACCGCACCGCACCGAGTAGTCGCTTGAGGCCGAGTCGATCTAGAAACAGGCCCAGGGTCAGCCGTTCACGTTGCCGCTGTCACCGCCCGTGGCCATGGGCGGGAATCGTAGGCCCCGGCGCCAACCGCTCCCGCTGCACCCACATGAAATCCCACACTGTTACTCGCATGCTCGCTGTACTTCTTTGTACTTTGTACGTTGTGTACGTGTGCGTGTGTGTGTGTGTGCGTGTGTGTGTGTGTGCGTGCGTGTGCGTGTGTGTGTGTGTGCGTGTGTGTGTGTGTGCGTGTGTGTGTGTGTGTGCGCCGCCCTCGTCCGCTCTCGCTCCCCAGCTCAACAAGCGCGCCTCCCAGCCGGCCCCGTCGCCCGCCTCCGCCTCCACCACCGCTTCCGCCTCCACCGCCTCCGCCGCTGCCTCCACCGCCTCCGCCGCCTCCTCCTCCTCGCCTCTGCCCTCCGCGTCGTTGCCATCGCGCGGAGGGGCCGGCGCCGGACACCGCGGCGCCGATTTTCAGCCGCCGTGCGCCGAGCGGAGCTTCGGGGGAGTGGGGCCGACGGGAAGCAGGGCTCCCGCCGCCCCGTCGCCCCGGGGCGGCGGGGCCGGCAGCGGCGGCTCCCCCGAGGGCAGCAGCCGCGGCTACCCCTGCTCCGACTGCCCCCTGCTCTTCCGCTCGCTGGCGGGCCTCCGCTCGCACGAGAAGAGCCACGCCGCCGCCGCCGCCGCCTCTTCGGCGGCGGCGGCGGCCGCCTCGGGCGTCCGCTACAGCCGCGCGGAGGGGCGCTACAGCTGCGAGCTCTGCTCCTTCGCCACGGCGTTCAAGCACAAGTGAGAGACGGGGGGGCTGTGTCGCCACTACCACGTTACAGGCTGTGTCACCACTACCACGTTACAGGCTGTGTCGCCACTACCACGTTACAGGCTGTGTCACCACTACCACCTACAGGCTGCGTCACTACCACCTACAGGCTGTCACTGCCACCTACAGGCTGTCACTGCCACCTACAGGCTGTCACTGCCACCTACAGGCTGTCACTGCCACCTACAGGCTGTCACTGCCACCTACAGGCTGTCACTGCCACCTACAGGCTGCGTCGCTACCACCTACAGGCTGTGTCACTACCACGTACAGGCTGTGTCACTACTACCTACAGCCTGCATCACTACCACTACCACCTACAGGCTGTGTCACTACCACGTACAGGCTGTGTCACTACCACCTACAGGCTGTGTCACTACCACCTACAGGCTGTGTCACCACCACGTTACAGGCTGTGTCACTACCACGTACAGGCTGCACCACTACCACTTACAGGCTGTGTCACTACCACATACAGGCTGTGTCACCACTACCACCTACAGGCTGTGTCACTACCACATACAGGCTGTGTCACTACCACCTACAGGTTGTGTCACTACCACCTACAGGCTGTGTCACTACCCATACAGGCTGCGTCACTACCACCTACAGGCTGCGTCACTACCACGTACAGGCTGTGTCACTGCCACCTACAGGCTGCGTCACTACCACGTACAGGCTGTGTCACTACCACATACAGGCTGTGTCACTACTACGTACAGGCTGCACCACTACCACCTACAGGCTGTCACTGCCACCTACAGGCTGTCACTACCACCTACAGGCTGTGTCACTACCACATACAGGCTGTGTCACTACCACCTACAGGCTGCGTCACTACCACGTACAGGCTGTGTCACTGCCACCTACAGGCTGTGTCACTACCACCTACAGGCTGTGTCACCACTACCACCTACAGGCTGTGTCACTACCACATACAGGCTGTGTCACTACCATCTACAGGTTGTGTCACTACCACCTACAGGCTGTGTCACTACCACGTACAGGCTGTGTCACTACCACGTACAGGCTGTGTCACTACCACCTACAGGCTGTGTCACTACCACCTACAGGCTGTGTCACTACCACCTACAGGCTGTGTCACTACCACCTACAGGCTGTGTCACTACCACCTACAGGCTGTGTCACTACCACGTACAGGCTGTGTCACTACCACCTACAGGCTGTGTCACTACCACCTACAGGCTGTGTCACTACTACCTACAGCCTGCATCACTACCACTACCACCTACAGGCTGTGTCACTACCACCTACAGGCTGTGTCACCACTACCACCTACAGGCTGTGTCACTACCCATACAGGCTGCGTCACTACCACCTACAGGCTGCGTCACTACCACCTACAGGCTGTGTCACTACCACCTACAGGCTGTGTCACCACTACCACCTACAGGCTGTGTCACTACCACATACAGGCTGTGTCACTACCATCTACAGGTTGTGTCACTACCACCTACAGGCTGTGTCACTACCACGTACAGGCTGTGTCACTACCACCTACAGGCTGTGTCACTACCACCTACAGGCTGTGTCACTACCACCTACAGGCTGTGTCACTACCACCTACAGGCTGTGTCACTACCACCTACAGGCTGTGTCACTACCACGTACAGGCTGTGTCACTACCACCTACAGGCTGTGTCACTACCACCTACAGGCTGTGTCACTACCACCTACAGGCTGTGTCACTACTACCTACAGCCTGCATCACTACCACTACCACCTACAGGCTGTGTCACTACCACCTACAGGCTGTGTCACCACTACCACCTACAGGCTGTGTCACTACCACATACAGGCTGTGTCACTACCACCTACAGGTTGTGTCACTACCACCTACAGGCTGTGTCACTACCCATACAGGCTGCGTCACTACCACCTACAGGCTGCGTCACTACCACGTACAGGCTGTGTCACTGCCACCTACAGGCTGTGTCACTACCACCTACAGGCTGTGTCACCACTACCACCTACAGGCTGTGTCACTACCACATACAGGCTGTGTCACTACCATCTACAGGTTGTGTCACTACCACCTACAGGCTGTGTCACTACCACGTACAGGCTGTGTCACTACCACGTACAGGCTGTGTCACTACCACCTACAGGCTGTGTCACTACCACCTACAGGCTGTGTCACTACCACCTACAGGCTGTGTCACTACCACCTACAGGCTGTGTCACTACCACCTACAGGCTGTGTCACTACCACCTACAGGCTGTGTCACTACCACGTACAGGCTGTGTCACTACCACCTACAGGCTGTGTCACTACCACCTACAGGCTGTGTCACTACTACCTACAGCCTGCATCACTACCACTACCACCTACAGGCTGTGTCACTACCACCTACAGGCTGTGTCACCACTACCACCTACAGGCTGTGTCACTACCACATACAGGCTGTGTCACTACCACCTACAGGTTGTGTCACTACCACCTACAGGCTGTGTCACTACCCATACAGGCTGCGTCACTACCACCTACAGGCTGCGTCACTACCACGTACAGGCTGTGTCACTGCCACCTACAGGCTGTGTCACTACCACCTACAGGCTGTGTCACCACTACCACCTACAGGCTGTGTCACTACCACATACAGGCTGTGTCACTACCATCTACAGGTTGTGTCACTACCACCTACAGGCTGTGTCACTACCACGTACAGGCTGTGTCACTACCACCTACAGGCTGTGTCACTACCACCTACAGGCTGTGTCACTACCACCTACAGGCTGTGTCACTACCACCTACAGGCTGTGTCACTACCACCTACAGGCTGTGTCACTACCACCTACAGGCTGTGTCACTACCACCTACAGGCTGTGTCACTACCACCTACAGGCTGTGTCACTACCACCTACAGGCTGTGTCACTACTACCTACAGCCTGCATCACTACCACTACCACCTACAGGCTGTGTCACTACCACCTACAGGCTGTGTCACACTACCACCTACAGGCTGTGTCACTACCACTTACAGGCTGTGTCACTACCACCTACAGGTTGTGTCACTACCACCTACAGGCTGCGTCACTACCACCTACAGGCTGCGTCACTACCACCTACAGGCTGCGTCACTACCACGTACAGGCTGTGTCACTGCCACCTACAGGCTGTGTCACTACCACCTACAGGCTGTGTCACCACTACCACCTACAGGCTGTGTCACTACCACATACAGGCTGTGTCACTACCATCTACAGGTTGTGTCACTACCACCTACAGGCTGTGTCACTACCACGTACAGGCTGTGTCACTACCACCTACAGGCTGTGTCACTACCACCTACAGGCTGTGTCACTACCACCTACAGGCTGTGTCACTACCACCTACAGGCTGTGTCACTACCACCTACAGGCTGTGTCACTACCACGTACAGGCTGTGTCACTACCACCTACAGGCTGTGTCACCACTACCACCTACAGGCTGTGTCACTACCACATACAGGCTGTGTCACTACCACCTACAGGTTGTGTCACTACCACCTACAGGCTGTGTCACTACCCATACAGGCTGCGTCACTACCACCTACAGGCTGTGTCACTACCACCTACAGGCTGTGTCACTACCACCTACAGGCTGTGTCGCTACCACGTACAGGCTATGTCACTACCACATACAGGCTGTGTCACTACCACCTACAGGCTGTGTCACTACCACCTACAGGCTGTCACTACCACCTACAGGCTGTGTCACTACCACCTACAGGCTGTGTCACTACCACATACAGGCTGTGTCACTACTACGTACAGGCTGTGTCACTACCACGTACAGGCTGTGTCACTACCACGTACAGGCTGTGTCACCACTACCACCTACAGGCTGCGTCACTACCACCTACAGGCTGTCACTACCACCTACAGGCTGTGTCACTACCACCTACAGGCTGTGTCACTACCACATACAGGCTGTGTCACTACTACGTACAGGCTGTGTCACTACCACGTACAGGCTGTGTCACTACCACGTACAGGCTGTGTCACCACTACCACCTACAGGCTGCGTCACTACCACATACAGGCTGTGTCACTACCACCTACAGGCTGTGTCACCACCACGTACAGGCTGTGTCACTACCACATACAGGCTGTGTCACTACCACGTACAGGCTGTGTCACCACTACCACGTACAGGCTGTGTCACTACCACATACAGCCTGTATCACTACCACTACCACATACAGCCTGTATCACTACCACTACCACGTACAGCCTGCATCACTACATAATACAGCCTGCATCACTACCACTACCACATACAGCCTGCATCACTACCACATACAGCCTGCATCACTACCACATACAGCCTGCATCACTACATAATACAGCCTGCATCACTACCACATACAGCCTGCATCACTACCACTACCATGTACAGCCTGCATCATTACCACTACCACATACAGCCTGCATCACTACCACATACAGCCTGCATCACTACCACATACAGCCTGCGTCACTACCACAATCGCACAACTGGGTTGTTGGATGTTGATGTTTGAGTTGGCTCTGCTCTCCCCCCCTCCCCACAGCATGTTGAGACACGTCCAGAACCGTCATGGCCACCACAAGCCGTACCGCTGTAAGCTCTGCTCCTTCCGCACGGGCTACAAGACTTGCCTCACCAGCCATGTGCAGCGTCTACACCCCACTAGTGAGTACCACAACCACACTAACCTCCACACTCACTACCACACTAACCACAACAACCACTCTTGATATAGTGATAGGTTTTTACCCTTTTAGCTGGCACAAAAACTGACACCTTCATGCAAGGGATCGTGTTTGCAATAACCACAACACAAGCAGTCAAAATGCAAACAAAAAGAAACAACTCTGATAATGATATGCACTGCCCTTGAATTTGATTGGTCCACACCCGAGACGGCTTTTCTTAGAGCCTAGTCTCCATTGGTGTTGGACCAGAAGACGCCAAAAGGCGTACAACTCAAAAACACTATCAAGAGTATTGAGAGCTCGGGGAAAGCCTTTACATTATGAGACCTCCTTTGCCAGTAACAAGATATAGTAATAGGTTTTTACCCTTTTAGCTGGCACAAAAACTGACAACTTTATACAAGGGATCATCTTCTTTGGTTCTTTCGTAGAATGAGAATAAAATAATAAATTGATAAAATAAAATAACACAATAAAATTATCACGACGTTTCGGCCACAACACAAGCGGCCTTCATCAGGTGAAGGGACGAGACTGTCTGGAAGACAAGGGATCATGTTTGCAATAACCACAACACAAGCAGTCAAAAATGCTTGCGTGACTGCAGGAATCCACACTCTTTTTGTTCTTTCGGTAAAGCCACGTAAGTAGAAAAATAAAATAAAAAATAATCTATCACGACGTTTCGGTCGCAACACAACAAGCGGCCGTCCTCGGGCGGAAAAAAATAATCCAGCAGTGGAACTGCTGAGCCAGCGAGAGAGCTGTTACAACAACAAGGAGGTTATTTACGTGGCGATGGGCAAGTAGGCAGGGTCTGAGCTGGAAAGGAATTCCATCCACGGACGCTGGCACGTCCAGTTGTGTTAGTGGGGGAGATTAGGGAGAGAGAGATTAGCATGAAATGAGCTTCCGTCGCCGCATAAGAGTATCGTCCCCGCATATGCGCACAACAGCAGTGTTAATGGGAGATTAATGATGGCAGTTCTACCAAAATCAACAAAGATATCCTACCAACCGCCTGGCTACAAAAACCAACAATATCATCACTAATTCGACTTCTCTATTAGAACCGAACAAGCAGCTCTCTCTAAAACCTTCGGCTGTAGGACCCACCCAGATTTTATGATTTTCCAAAAATCCATAAAGAAGGTACTCCACTCCGTCTTATCGTTTCTACCATCAACTCGCCTACCTACAAACTGGTCCGATTTCTGTCTGAGATTGTTTCCATTCACGGGCAAGACCACCTCAGCAGTACTTGACTCAGCTCACTTGGTTTCTCTTATCAAGGACATTTCACCGTCTCCAGATGATTTGCTTGTCAGTTTCGATGTAAAATTTCGATTTAAAGCTTTCGTGACTGCAAGGATTCATCGTCTTGGTTCTTTCGGTAAAGTCACCACGTAGAATGAGAATAAAACAACAAAACAAAATAAGACAATAAAAATTCTCACGACGTTTCGGCCACAACACAAGTAGCCTTCTTCAGGTGAAGAGACAGGTCTGTACGGAAGACAGAGCTCGAATGAACGCCGTCATGTGTGGACAGCGTTTATTAAGCTGTGTGGGCGGAGTTAAAACATGAGTCTGTACGTTACAAGCATCACCTCCAGAGAGGGGGGGAGGGGCTGGGAACACAGGCAGAGGGGAAAAAGACTAAAGATAATGAGCGCAGGTACAACAAGGTACGATGTTGTGTCCTGAGCAGCTTCATGACTATGCTATAAACTGAGCTACTATACAGTACAATATTATATCTTCAAATCTAAACTACATGGTATAACATCATATCATAGACAAATTCCACCTTTGAATTATACAATGCGTTACTTTACACTACCCTATACTTTAGATTATAAACTATTTGACTTGTGACATTACACTATGTCTTATTATATGAACCCAACTATATACCACACTGCTGTATATTCACTATGCAATTACGATGCTATATATTGCCTTATGAGTTCTGTTAAATATTACAATGTTATACTATTAATTATACTACATGTTATAAACCATACCATTGACAGTGGTGTGAGAAGTATTAAGAGGCAGTGTCAGCGAAAGGGCTGTGGTCTGAAAGTCACCGTGAAATACAATCAATTAAGAACCGAAATGGTTTAAAACATCTTTCCAATGGATACTAAGCCAGAATCCATCTTCTCGGTTGAAATTGTCTCTGTGCTTGTATATGTGGATGGCCTCATGAACGAATCTCTCATGGTAGCCGGTTGGCTTGCAAAGAACCTCCGTCTTGGAGAAGTCAATGTCATGTGAGCCCACTGAATTATAACAGTGATCTGCCACGGCAGAGGAGTTAGTCCTACCGTGTTTCAAGTCTGCTTTATGTTCGCGGATGCGGTCCGAGATATGTCGTTTGGTTTCTCCAATGTAGCTGCTACCACAGAGGCACTTAAGTTTATAAACGCCTGGGTGCTGTATGTCTGGAACCACATCTTTTACAGATGGAATCAGATCACGGATTTTATTTACTGTGTTGAATCGGACCTGGATCTTGTGTTTGTTCAGGATTTTGGAGATCTTTTTTGTGACCCCCGCAATGTAGAGTAAGGTGATAGTTTTGAATGGCTCCTCAAGGGGATCCTTCTTCATGACTGGAGTGATGGCTTTGCGGATTGTGTAGTCGGAGTAACCATTAGCCTTGAGAGCTTGGTGTACGTGTTTGAGTTCACTGGCAATGTGATCCTGGTCGGAAATGCATTGGGCTCTGTGGTATAGAGTCTTGATGAGGGAGTTCTTCTGGGATGGATGGTGGTAGGAATCCGGTTTTAAGTAAGCATCCGTATGGGTCGCTTTCCTGTAGACCGAGTGGCTCATTGAACCATCATGTCTCCTTTTAATTAAGACATCCAAAAAGGGTAGCTTGCCTTCGTTTTCGACCTCCATGGTAAATCTGATGGCTGGGTGTATGGAGTTGATGTGGTCGAGGAATTGGTCTAGAGCAGGCTGGCCATGTGGCCAGATGACAAAGGTGTCATCCACGTACCTCTTCCATAAGGTCGGGCGTAGAGTGGCAGTCTGGATGGCGTCAGTCTCAATTTTTTCCATGAACACGTTGGCTACAACTGGAGATAGGGGGGAGCCCATTGGGGTGAAGTATGTGTTGGTTAAGCAGTGTCTCACAAGGGGGGGTACCTCCATATGCAGTCCTTGATGAACCAGGTCTTCAATGATTGCGATGGTGTCAGGTACCGGAACTTTGGTGAATAAGGACACCACATCAAAACTGACAAGCAGGTCGTCTGGGGACAGGGAAATGCCTTTGATTGTCAATACCAGGTGATTAGAATTTAGTACCGCAGAGGTGGTTTTTCCAGTGAAAGGTCGCAGTATATCAGCCAGAAAACGCGCCAGTTTGTAGGTGGGGGAGTTGATAGTGGAGACGATGGGACGAAGGGGTGTATCTTCTTTGTGTATCTTTGGAAGACCATATAATCTTGGTGGTCTGGCAGCAGAGGGTTTCAACGAGAACTGTTTGGTCTGATCAATTAATGCTGTTGAATCGGAGATGATTTTGTTCGTTTTGGTAACCAGGCTGTTGGTGGGATCTCTTCTTATTTTTGTATAGCTGCCATCGTTGAGTAGTTCTTGAATTTTGTTGTTATATTCTATTTTGTCCATGATGACAGTGGCATTGCCCTTGTCGGCTGAGAGGATGACAATGTCATCTCTCTTTTTTAATTGAGATAATTCAAAGCGCTCATCTTTGCTGATGTTACTAGGTGGCATCTTAGCGTTTTTAAGGGTTGCAGTGATTTCAGATCTTGCTACGTCTGCAGCGATGTGACCCAGGCCCTTGAGTGCAACGTCGACATGGGCAATGATGTCATTAACTGGTATGTGTCTCGGTGTGACAGCAAAGTTTAGCCCTTTAGCCATCAGAAATGGAACTGTTACTGCGATTTAATTGCGACTTTGTTAACGTCTAGTTTTTTGGTGTGTGGGTCCGGTCTTTTGTTGGAAAGGCGATTGAATTTGGAAATTAAGTTGTCCTTACATTTGGTCGACATAGTGGCAGCTGAAGAGGTAGTCATATTGTCTACATCTTCCCAATCCGATGTAGACATTGTTGCTGTCAATGTTAAGTGTGATTTGTAGAGTGTCTTGTCTAACTGATCTAGTTCGGTGCCCACACAGCTTAATAAACGCTGTCCATACATGACGGCGTCCATTCGAGCTCTGTCTTCCGTACAGACCTGTCTCTTCACCTGAAGAAGGCTACTTGTGTTGTGGCTGAAACGTCGTGAGAATTTTTATTGTCTTATTTTGTTTTAATGTTTTACTCTCATTCTACGTGGTGACTTTACCGAAAGAACCAAGAAGAAGTTTCGGTGTAGTCTCTCTGTTCACCAAGGTACCTGTGCCTGACACCATTGCAATAATTGAAGACTTGGTCCAACAGGTACTGAATCCTGATGTACCAACTTTGCTGAGGCACTGCCTTATCAACACTTCACCTGGATTGGTACATTCTACAAACAAAATGAAGTTACCCCTATGGGTTCTCCCTTATCGCCAGTGGTCGCGAATGTTTTCATGGAGAAATTTGAAACAGATGCCATCCTGACATCCACCCTACGTCCTTCCCTGTGGAAGAGATACGTAGATGACACTTTCGTCATCTGGCCACATGGCCAGCCAGCACTGAACCAATTTTTCAACCACATCAATTCCATACACCCATCCATCAAATTCACCATGGAAGTGGAAAATTAAGGCTAGCTAACATTCCTGGGTGTTTTGATCGAGAAGAGGCCTGATGGCTCGTTGGGACATTCCGTCTACAGGAAAGCCACCCACACGGATGCCTATCTCAAGCCTGACTCCCACCACCATCCGGCCCAGAAGAATTCCCTCATCAAAACACTACACCATAGGGCCCGTTGCATCTCCGACCAGCACCACCTAGCCAGTGAACTGGAGCATGTACACCAAGCGCTCAAGATGAATGGATACTCAGACCGCACAATCCGCAAAGCTGTAGCCCCAGCTATGGGGAGACAACCATCTGAGGACCCAATCAAAACCATTACCTTGCCATCCATAGCAGGTGTTACCAAAAAGATTTCCAAAACATCAAACAAACGCAAGATCCAGGTTCGATTCAACACAGTACACAAAATCCGTGATTTGATCCCATCTGTGAAGGATGTAATTCCTGACATGCATTACCCTGGTGCCTACAAACTAAGTTGTGTCTGCGGCAGCAGTTACATTGGGGAAACGAAACGACGTGTCTCGGACCGTGTTCGCGAACACAAGGCAGATCTGAAACACGGCAGAACCAATACCTCTGCCGTGGCTGACCATTGTTATAACGCAGTGGGCTCGCACGATATTGTTTTTTTCCGAGACCAAGGTACTCTGCAAACCTTCGGGCTACCATCAAAGATTTGTCCATGAAGCCATCCAGATATATAAACACAGACACAACAATTTCAACAGAGAAGATGGGCACAAGCTGAGCAATCATTGGAAGGACGTTATAAACCAAGCAAAGTCGGAACTTGCTGCGGTGCTTCCATTCTTATCTCCGAATCTCTTTGAGTTGCATTGCCCCGTTGGGTGCCTCTGCATTACCGGGACTGGGGTCTCACTAACATGGCCACCTCTGCTCCCTTAGCCTCGATGTGTCGATGGTTCTGGCTGTGTGATGGGCCGTGTGTCTCACTGGCGCGACCACCGTTGCCGTGGGTCTCCTGCGTGGACGCGCCTGCCTCCCGCAGCGCGGTTAGCAGCGCCGCCGCAGCTTGTGTTACACGCGGACATGACATTAGCTTGCTAATCCCCCTTCATCTCCCTGCTCAATCTCTCCCATCAACATAGTGCTACTCTCCCATTATTAACACTGCTGTTGTGCGCATATGCGGGGACGGTACTCTCTTATGTGGCGACGGAAGCTCATTTCATGCTAATCTCTCTCTCCCCAATCTCCCCCACTAACACAACTGGACGTGCTAGCGTCCGGGGATGGAATTCCTTTCCAGCTCAGACCCTGCCTACTTGCCCATGGCCACGTAAATAACCTCCTTGTTGTTGTAACAGCTCTCTCGCTGGCTCAGCAGTTCCACTGCTGGATTATTTTTTTTCCGCCCGAGGACGACCGCTGGTTGTGTTGCCATCGAAACGTCGTGAAATAATATTTTTTTCTTTAATTAAATTTTCCTACCTACGTGACTTTACCGAAAGAACCAAAGAGTACACAACAACCACCACAACAACCACCTCACCAACCACCTCGCCAACCACAACAACCACCACACTCACCACTACACTAACCACCACCACACTCACCACTACACTAACCACAACAACCACCTCACTAACGACAACAACCACTACACTAACCACGACACTAACCACAACAACCACCTCACCAACCACCTCACCAACCACCTCACCAACCACAACAACCACCACTCTAACCACTACACTAACCACCACCACACTCACCACTACACTAACCATCACCACACTAACCACTGCACTAACCTCAACAACCACCTCACTAACGACAACAACCACTTCACTAACCACGACACTAACCACAACAACCACCACAACAACCACCACAACAACCACCTCACCAACCACAACAACCACCACACTCACCACTACTCTAACCACCACCACACTCACCACTACACTAACCACAACAACCACCTCACTAACGACAACAACCACTACACTAACCACGACACTAACCAGAACAACCACCACAACAACCACCACAACAACCACCTCACTAACCACCTCACTAACGACAACAACCACTACACTAACCACTACACTAACCACCACCACACTCACCACTACACTAACCACCACCACACCACTACACTAACCACAACAACCACCTCACTAACGACAACAACCACTACACTAACCACGACACTAACCACCACCACACTAACCACCACCACACTAACCACCACCACACTAACCACCACCACTACCAACCACCACCACAACCATCGTGTTTGGTGGAGGTGATGTTGATATAGGTGGTGAGTGATGGTGGTGGTGAGTGAATGGTGGTAATGATGTTGATGGTGTTGATGGTTGTGATGTTGATGGTGATGATGTTTGTGGTGGTTATGTTGATGGCGGTTGTGATGATGATGAAGGTTGTGATGTTGATGATGGTTGTGAGGATGATGGTGATGTTGGTGGTGGTAATGCAATCTTGATGTTGACGGTGATGTTGACGGTGATGTTGATGGTGGTGATGTTGATGCAGATGTATCCTCAGCACCATCACAGCTGAGAAGAGAAGTCTCCATCACGACTCCTGCAGGTACGGAGAGAGAGACACGGAGAGAGAGACTGGGGGAGAGAGAGACATGGGGAGAGGGACACGGGGAGATGGACACGGGGAGAGAGAGACACGGGGAGAGAGAGACACGGGGAGAGAGAGACACGGGGAGAGAGAGACACGGGGAGAGAGACACGGGGAGAGAGACACGAAGAGTAAGAGATACACGGAGAGAGACATGGGTAGAGAGACAGGGAGAGTTAGAGACACGGAGAGTGAGAGACACGGGGAGAGTGAGAGCGACACGGAGAGTGAGAGAGACACGGAGAGTGAGAGACACAGGGAGAGTCAGAGAGACACAGGGAGAGTGAGAGACAGGGAGAGTGAGAGACACAGGGAGAGTGAGAGACACGGGGAGAGTGAGAGAGACACGGAGAGTGAGAGACACGGGGAGAGTGAGAGAGACACGGAGAGTGAGAGAGACATGGAGAGTGAGAGACACAGGGAGAGTCAGAGAGACACGGAGAGTGAGAGACACGGAGAGTGAGAGACACGGAGAGTGAGAGACACGGAGAGTGAGAGACAGGGAGAGTGAGAGACACAGGGAGAGTGAGAGACACAGGGAGAGTGAGAGACACGGAGAGTGAGAGACAGGGAGAGTGAGAGAGACACGGGGAGAGTGAGAGAGACACGGGGAGAGTGAGAGAGACACGGAGAGTGAGAGAGACACGGAGAGTGAGAGAGACGGGGAGAGTGAGAGAGACATGGAGAGTGAGAGACACGGAGAGTGAGAGACACAGGGAGAGTGAGATACACAGGGAGAGTGAGATACACAGGGAGAGTGAGAGACACAGGGAGAGTGAGAGAGACACGGAGAGAGAGAGACACGGAGAGTGAGAGACACAGGGAGAGTGAGAGACACAGGGAGAGTGAGAGAGACACGGAGAGTGAGAGACACAGGGAGAGTCAGAGAGACACGGAGAGTGAGAGACAGGGAGAGTGAGAGACACGGAGAGTGAGAGACACGGAGAGTGAGAGACACGGAGAGTGAGAGACAGGGAGAGTGAGAGACACAGGGAGAGTGAGAGACACAGGGAGAGTGAGAGACACGGAGAGTGAGAGACAGGGAGAGTGAGAGAGACACGGGGAGAGTGAGAGAGACACGGGGAGAGTGAGAGAGACACGGAGAGTGAGAGAGACACGGAGAGTGAGAGAGACGGGGAGAGTGAGAGAGACACGGAGAGTGAGAGACACGGAGAGTGAGAGACACAGGGAGAGTGAGATACACAGGGAGAGTGAGATACACAGGGAGAGTGAGAGACACAGGGAGAGTGAGAGAGACACGGAGAGAGAGAGACACGGAGAGTGAGAGACACAGGGAGAGTGAGAGACACAGGGAGAGTGAGAGAGACACGGAGAGTGAGAGACACAGGGAGAGTGAGAGAGACACGGAGAGTGAGAGACACGGGGAGAGTGAGAGACACGGAGACACGGAGAGAGATGGAGAGAGACACGGAGAGTGAGAGACACGGAGAGTGAAAGAGAGTGAGAGAGACACGGAGAGAGATGGAGAGTGAGAGACACGGAGACACGGAGACACGGAGAGTGAGAGAGACACGGAGAGTGAAAGAGAGTGAGAGAGACACGGAGAGAGATGGAGAGTGAGAGACACGGAGAGTGAGAGAGACACGGAGAGTGAGAAAGAGAGTGACAGACACTGAGACACGGAGAGAGATGGAGAGTGAGAGAGACACGGAGAGTGAGAGAGTGAGAGACACGGAGAGAGAGACACGGAGAGTGAGAGAGAGTGAGAGACACGGAGAGAGATGGAGAGTGAGAGACACGGAGAGTGAGAGAGACACGGAGAGTGAGAGAGAAAGTGAGAGACACTGAGACACGGAGAGTGATGGAGAGAGACACGGAGAGTGAGAGAGACACGGAGAGTGATAGAGGTGTCCTAGATGTTTGTGTCTGTGTTTGTCAGTTTAACATGATAGAGGTTTTTGCGTTACATCACCTAAATATAAATGCCGTGTCGTTAAATCCACCACCACCCAACACAGCCAATCAGTAACGGGTTTGTCACGTACAGTGAGGGAAAAAAGTATTTGATCCCCTGCTGATTTTGTACGTTTGCCCACTGACAAAGAAATGATCAGTCTATAATTTTAATGGTAGGTTTATTTGAACAGTGAGAGACAGGTAGTAACAAGCTGAGATTAGGAGCACTCCCTTTAAGAGTGTGCTCCTAATCTCAGCTCGTTCCCTGTATAAAAGACACCTGGGAGCCAGAAATCTGTCTGATTGAGAGGGGGTCAAATACTTATTTCCCTCATTAAAATTCAAATCAATTTATAACATTTTTGACATGCGTTTTTCTGGATTTTTTTGTTGTTATGCAGTCTCTCACTGTTCAAATAAGCCTACCATTAAAATTATAGACTGATAATTTCTTTGTCAGTGGGCAAACGTACAAAATCAGCAGGGCATCAAATACTTTTTTCCCTCACTGTAAACAAAACGTGGCCAATTAGTTAATAGAGCAGCACTAACCGCTTGCTGTGTGTTGGAGAGTAAACTCACTAGTACATCTATGAGTCCAGTAGCTGGTGACGTTTCGCCGGGAACTACAACAACAGCAATCAGCATCACCGGGCGACAGCCACGGGGTTGTGGAGAAATCCTCCTCCTCCTCCTGTTTCGGTCTTAAATAGACACGGGGCTGGGATAAATGTGATGTCATTGTAAGTTACATGTCTACGACATTAACCACCCCCCTCTTGCCTTAGCACCTGATTGGCTCACGAGTTGACGACGTCACATTCACCCCGGCCCCGCGTCTAATTTGAGACGGAAACAGGAGGAGGAGGAGAAGGAGGATTTCTCCGCATCTCCGTGGCTTGTTGTGGTTGTTGTTGTAGTCACTGGCGAAATGTCACCGGCTACTCAAATTGTAAATGTGGTAGTGGCTTTATTCTGTAATACACAACAACCGGTTTAGTGCTGTACTATTATACTACACTATACACTACACTATATACTAGACGACTATACACAAGACTACTATACACGATACACTACACTCCTATACACGACACTACTATACATGACACCATGCACTACACCACCATACACTACACTATATACTACACTATACACTCGGCTACTATACACTACACTCTACACAACATGATACACCACTCCAAGGTCCGTAGCCATGGAGTCAACATTGCGGGGGATCAAATTTTCCAGGGGGTCCCCCCTGGGTGGTGGCAGGTTTAACGACAGCATTTATATTTAAACGATATAACCCTAGAACCTTTCTTATGGATCTCTGTTTGTCTCTCTCTCTGTGTAGGTGTCTGTTTAATTAATTATTTGTGTCTCTCTCTATGAGTGATTCTCTCCCTCTGTGTCTCTCACCTCCCCGTGTCTATTTCTGGATGAGTGATTAAGTGGGTCGGTGGGTGAGTGAGTGGATGGATTAGTGGGCGAGTGTGCAAGTGAGTGGGTGGGTGGGTCGGTGAGTGGGTGGGTGAGTGACTGGGTGGGTGACTGGGCGGGTGGGTGAGTGAGTGGGTGAGGAGGTGATTGGGTGAGTAGGTGATTGGGTGACTAGGTGATTGGGCAGGTGAGTGGATGGGTGAGTGGACGGGTGAGGGGATTGGTGAGTGGATGGGTGAGTGGGAGAGTAGGTCAGGAGGTGAGTGACCCTCTCTCCCCCTCACCTTTCTGCTCACCTCCCCTAGCCGATGGGTACCAAGAACCCAAGTACATCGAGGCTCAGATCATGCAGTTCCACAACAGGATGGCGATGGCTTCAACGTTCACCTCCACCACCACCACCTCTTCCTCCTCCTCCACGTCCACCACCGCCGCTAATTCCACAGATCCCAACAACCACAACAACCACAGCAACCAAAGCAACCACCTCAACCACAATCAGAGCCCCCACCACAACACCTCACCACCGTCGCAGTCGCCCACCAAGTCGCTCAACAAGTCAGCGGCTCTCCCCTGCGAGCTCTGCTCCTTTGTGAGCTCCCACGTCCAGAGCCTCAAGAGGCACTACCGGGACCGGCACAACGGGAAACGTCTCCGCTGCTGTACCCTCTGCACCTTCTACAGCGGCAGCAGGTGAGTGAGTGGGGGTGAGTGGGGGTGAGTGGGGTGGGTGAGTGGGGTGAGTGGGTGGGTGAGTGGGTGGGTGAGTGGGTGGGTGGGTGAGTGAGTGGGTGGGTGAGTGAGTGGGGTGAGTTGGGTGAGTGGGGTGAGTGGGGTGAGTGGGTGAGTGAGTGATTGGGTGGGTGAGTGGGTGAGTGGGGTGAGTTGGGTGAGTGGGGTGAGTGGGTGGGTGGGTGAGTGGGGTGAGTTGGGTGGGTGAGTGGGGTGAGTTGGGTGGGTGAGTGGGCGAGTGAGTGAGTGGGTGTGTGAGTGAGTAAATTAGTGCGTGGGTGGATGGGTGGGTGCGCCAGTGGGTGAATGGGTGTGTTAGTGAATGAGTGGGTGGGTAGACAAGTGGGTGAGTTAGCGGGTGAGAGTGGATTGAAGATTGGGTAGCATTCGCGAATGAGTTTTTTGGGTGGGTAGGTTGCTAGGCATTTAGGTGCTTTAATGAGTGGGGGGGGGGGGGGTGGGTAGGTGAGTGGGTGAGTATCTAGATGAGTGAGTGAGTAGGTGGGTAAGTGTGTAGGTGAGTGTGTAGATGAGTGTGTAGGTGAGTGTGTAGGTGAGTGTGTAGGTGAGTGTGTAGGTGAGTGTGTAGGTGAGTGTGTAGGTGAGTGTGTAGGTGAGTGTGTAGGTGAGTGTGTAGGTGGGTAGGTGGGTAGGTGAGTAGGTAAGTGTGTAGGTGAGTGTGTAGGTGAGTGGGTAGGTGGGTAGGTGGGTAGGTGAGTAGGTGAGTGTGTAGGTGAGTGTGTAGGTGAGTGGGTAGGTGGGTAGGTGGGTAGGTGAGTAGGTGAGTGTGTAGGTGAGTGTGTAGGTGAGTGTGTAGGTGAGTGTGTAGGTGAGTCACTAAGAGTTTACCACCCCCACCGTGCTCTCCCACCGCCCCTCTCACCACAGGGAGGTGCTGGAGTCCCACGTCCGTGGGCAGCACGGAGGGGCGGGGCTCTCTGGCGGGGCGCCCCTCTCCGGTGGCGTGGGCCCGGCCGGGGTGGTGGGGGGAGGAGGCGGTGGGGGCTACCCCCCGCGGGCGGAGCTGCAGTGCCCCTTCTGCCTCTACAGCAGCCTGGACAAGGCAACCATGATCACTCACATCATACTGCACGGAGGTACGTAGACACTCAACACGTAGACACATTCACACGTAGACGCACAACAAGAACAACCGCCATTTGCCACTAAGTGGCGGTGACATCACCCCATGGTGCTTTGTGCCAAGCTATGTGCACGTTGAGGCCACGTGAAGTGTCGAACGCCCGCTGACAGGGGGTCACGGAGCAGACCCAGGTGCCATGGGTTGACTGACTGAGATGACTGGCCGATGCACCACCTGTGCCCCCTACTGTGCCAACTTGCTGTGCTTTAGCCACCCGGCGCTCCGCTCGTTGTTGTGAGCGTCACTCCTGTGCCTTCCGTTGTTGTTGGAGGGCGACTGCCTCCAACTGCCCAGTAGCGTCCTTCACGAGCCTCCTCCACAGAGGCCAATCTTTACACCGCTGGTACCAGTCATCGGCAAGTCCACTTAGCTCCACGTCCTCCTGTACCACATCACTCCATCTCTTCTCTAGCCCGTGCCGGGCCCATTTAACCCCCTCTATCTAACCGAACAAAAGCTGTTTAGGCATGTGGTATGGCTGGGCATGTGGGCTACATGGTCCAGTCAATGCATCCTTGCCTGCCGGAGTGGCTCACCGATGGGACTTTGTCCAGATCTTTTAAGGATTTGTGAGCTCACACAATCCAGCCTGGTTGAACCCAGGATGGATCATAGGCAGGCCAACCTAAATGTTTCTAACCACTAAAGATGTTCCATTAGGGGGGGGGGGGTCCTTGTTTCGCAAGCATAGAGAAGGGAGGGAATGACCATGGCCGAGAAGACCCGAAGCTGCGTGCGGAGCGACAGACCAGGTAGCTTCCACACAGCGTTACGCAACGGATGAAAAGATATTGCCGCTCGACTGATTCGGAGTGAGACCTCTGCTATCAAACCGGAGCTGGTCATAAGCACACCGCCCAGGTATGGAAAACTCTCCACTCTCTCCACAAATGCCCCATCACCAATGGGGAGTTGAGGGGGGTGTTGAGTGTTTGATGGCACAAAATACCCAGGCAGGTGCTTAGTTTTGGTGGGGCTGATGATAAGGCGCCACCTCTTAGTGGCACACCAGAAGACATCCCTGTCCCACCCCAAGGTGAACAGGGAATGACTCCGACTCCTGGCAATGTTTTACCCGGGCCTGCCTATCATCATGAATGACCTTAACGATTGTGAGCAGAGAGTTGGGGACTCGGAAAGCACTAAGAACAACCCAAAGAGCCCAAGCCTACTGTTGGTATCATAGGCCTCGACCAGGACAATAAAGCAGAGGTGTAGGTTTTGTTTGAATTCCCTACACTCTGTTGTAGCAGATGGACAGAGAATATGGCACATTGATGCTCCGCAAGCCTCTCCTTGGCGTGCCTGGCAAGGCAATATGGAATAATCCTTGCCAGGACCTTTCCCGGCACACTAAGGAGGAATATGCACCTGTAGTTGTTACAGTCTGTGTGGTCCCCCTTCTTAAAGAGGGGGGACCACATGGGCATCCTTCCAATCCTGTGGAACCCTTCCTGTGGACCAGACAGTTGTAATAATGTCATGTGGGGCAGTGTGAAGACAAACACTACCCTCCCTCAACATTTCACTTGGGATATCATATCTGCTCGGCGCTTTTTCTGGTCTCAGACTCTAGATTACTTTCTATACTTCCTCAACTAATGTCACCACAGCCAGCCACTTACAGGGGATGACAACTTCTTCCAATATTTGAGGCACTGCAGCCTCAGCAGGGTCATCCACACTTTTCCACATATTTTCCAGGCTGAAAGATTTCCCCTCCCTTAAGACCTCAGAAATTCTCAGCAGATCGACAATCCTCTTCCTGGGGGTAAGATATCGGATTGCCTTTCTTCCCCCTAATCATGGTGATAGATGTGGTGCTGAAAGTTACTTTTTTTTTTAGAGTGATTTGTGATCACGGGCCACTGAGGCAGACCCCATCTCCTCAGCAACTTGCGACCACCACCCATCCTTGCAGTACCGCATGGCTCTCCGAACCTCCTAAAACTGGCCCATTTCCTCTCGGCATCACGAGGTGGGGTGGACAATGCCAACCCCAGCTGCCAGCAATGATGAAATTCTTGCTTGCAACTTTCATTATCTAACTGAGACCAGGCCACTGTGGGTTTGAATTGGGTCTTAGATATACACCCAACACCGGAGTGTAAGAATGGCAGGCGCATTTTACGGATGACATGCCGATGGTCAGTGGGTAGATTAGCTCCACAGTAGGTCCTGGTTTCAAGGACATGGGGCCCGCATCCGCTGTTTCGTCACTTTTTAGTCCAGCAGATATTCTTGCTTGGACCCAGCGTGCATCCATGATGTTGTGTGGATGCGCCGATGTCGGAGCAGCGTTGTGGTAATTATCAGTCTATGGACTACACAGAAGTCTAACAGTTTCCTACTTTTGTTATTGAGCTGATCTGGCCCATGCCTTTTAATCACTCCAGCTAAGGTGCCAGCATCCTGACCCACTCGGGCATTAAAGTCACTCAACAGGGTGACTCTCTCCCGAAGAGTCACTTTAGGAGGTCATAAAAGACATCTGACTCATCAGCCTTGCCTGCATCCCTTTACTGATGTTCATCTTCGGTAGGGGCATAAGTAACCACGACCACCACTTTTCGCCTCTTGTTAATGGGAAGGGGAACCCACATTAGCATGGGGCTTACAGCTTCCCACACCTCACCGCCATGTTCCCACGTCCCCATCATTCTTTTGTTCAGAATAAGAGCCACTACCTCTTGTTTGGCAGTCTCCTGTCCCCGACTAGAGGACTGCCCACCCCTAATGGTGACTGGAGCTAGAGGCAGTCCACTGGACCTGAATACCGCAGAGATCCAGGTAATACCGTTCCAGCTCCCAGCAGAGGAGTAGCAGCCTCTTCTCCGCAGTGAGCATTCCAACATTCCACATGGCCATTCGATGTGGCTTTTTGATGTTTATGGAGGAACCCTGAGGGTAAGGATTCAGTCTCCTGGCATGTCATCCGTAAAATGCGCCTGCCATTCTTCCACTCCGGTGTTGGGTGTATATCTAAGGATTCAGTCTCCTGGGTTTAGCCAGTAGATGTTTTTAACGCCTGTCCCCCCGGGACCTCCAGCACAAGCTTTCATCTATATTTTTCATGTAGTTTAGTGGTAGTTGAATTGAAGGTGGAGGGGTTATCAGCCCCTCGTAACCATCCAGAGCCCCCATTTGGCCGCTGCCGTGGCTGCAAGCGCCATGAGGGGGAATAGCTGATTTTGGAATTGGCTTTCCCTCCATGGCATTGTTCACATCCACCACAGCATTACCCTCCGGCACCATCAAAGAGGGAGGGAGTTGTGTTTGCCACAGAGGTGGGGAGACACACAGATGCACACACAGTCATTCATACATACACACGCGCAGACACTCGCACAGACACACATCCTGCACGGAGGTGGGGAGACACTCACACAGATACACACACACAGTCATTCATACATACACACACGCAGACACTCACACAGACACACATCCTGCACAGAGGTGGGGAGACACTCACAGAGATACACACACACAGTCATTCATACATACACACACGCAGACACTCACACAGACACACATCCTGCACGGAGGTGGGGAGACACTCACACCCACAGACATTCACACACATGTAGTGTTGTGGATTCGGAAGACGTCGGAGACGGTTCTTGGAGGCAAAACTATTTATTGAAACACCTCGCTCGGCAGTACAGTCCCAGAACACTCAGGGTTGCGGTCCTCCTACAGGGTTACTGTCCTCCTACAGCTACTGTCTGGGGAGGTACTGCCTCCGGGCTAACGTGCCCTAACACAGGACACACTCAGGGTGCTCCTACAGCTACTGTCTGGGGAGGTACTGCCTCCGGGCTAACGTGCCCTAACACAGGGCTACACTCAGGGTCCTCCGGCTACGGGTGCCTAGGGGGAGGCTGTTCTAACTCGCCCTAGCCAGGGTGCGAGTTCTGACCCCTGACCCACCGGACCCGGCCCTTACAAGGACGTCGGGGCCAGGGGTTCCCAGGGTCTCACCGCTGAGCCTCTCGGAGTCCCCGGCCCTGACAAGGGCAGCGGGGCTAGGGGGTCTCAGGGTCCTATCTAGCTGCTCTTCTGCATCTGTCTTCAACTGGTGCCGAGCCTGTAGAGAGGTTCGCCCTTTTATCAACCTCCCAACCGTTGGTAGCGGCCCCGGGGGGGGATCCCAGGACGACACCCCACAGCCCATTTACGCCCCTTTCACTCACGCTCGCGCGGACAATCACGCAGAGACTCGAGCAGACCCTCAGGCAGACAGTCACACAGACACTCACGGGGTGTGAATACTTCCCCGGATATTTGAGTCCGTGGCAGGCCCGCATTTGTGTCTCCGTGTCTCTCTACCCGTGCCCGTCTAGATGAGCGTCTGCTGCCCGTAGAGACGCGCCGCTCCAAGCTGTCGCGCCACCTCCGTGGCCGAGGTCTTCCGCTGCGCCCGCTGCACTTTCACGAGCGCCAGCCGTGCCACTCTGCTGCTGCACGCCTCACGCAAGCACGGCGGGGCGGGCACCGGGGCAGGGGGGCCCCGGGTGGGGGGCGCACCCCCCCACCACCACCCCAACCCGCCCCCGCCACAGGAGGGGATGCGCGGGGGGGAGGCCGCGGGGAGGGCGCTGTTTGGGTGCCGGCTCTGTGCCCATGAAACGGAGCTCCTGGCCGACGTCCAGAGCCACCTAAGGAGCATTCACCGGGTGAGGGGCAGGGGGATGGCGGGGGCACACTGGGGGGGGGGGGGCGGGGGGGGCACACAAGGATGGGGGGGGGGGCACACGGGGGGGGGGCGGGGGGGGGGGGGGGGGCATGGGATGGCTGAGTCGGGGAGACACGGGGACATAAGAAAGGAAGGGGAGGCGATTAGACAAGAAGGGGAAGGGGACTGGAAAGGAAGGGGAGGGGCACTGGACAGGAAGGGGAGGGGACTGGAAAGGAAGGGGAGGGGCACTAGACAGGAAGGGGAGGGGACTGGGAAAGGAAGGGGAGGGGCACTAGACAAGAAGGGGAGGGGACTGGAAAGGAAGGGGAGGGGCACTAGACAAGAAGGGGAGGGGACTGGAAAGGAAGGGGAGGGGCACTAGACAAGAAGGGGAGGGGGACTATAAAGGAAGGGGAGGGGACTAGACAGGAAGAGGAGGGGACTAGACAGGAAGGGGAGGGACTAGACAGGGAGGGACTAGACAGGAAGGGGAGGTGCACTAGACAGGAAGGGGAGGTGCACTAGACAGGAAGGGGAGGGGCACTAGACAGGAAGGGGAGGGGCACTAGACAGGAAGGGGAGGGGCATGGCTAACCGCACCCCCCCCACCCTGTCTCCGACCGCTCTGACCCTGGACAGGTCCAGAGGAACATGGAGTTGGTGACTGAGGTGGTTGTTGCGGAGACGCTGGGTGGTGAGGGTGGGGAAGAGGATGGGGGTGAGGAGGATGGTGAGGAAGAGGGTGGTGAGGATGGGGGTGAGGATTGGGCCGGTGAGGAGGAATCCAAGGTCTCCACTGGGGCAGGTGATGGCATCATCAACACCACCATCATCAACATCCACCATCATCAACATCCACCATCATCAACACCACCATCATCAACATCCACCATCATCAACACCACCATCATCAACACCACCATCATCAACATCCACAATCATCAACACCACCATCATCAACATCCACCATCATCAACATCCACCATCATCAACATCCACCATCATCAACACCACCATCATCAACACCACCATCATCAACACCACCATCATCAACAACACCACCATCATCAACATCCACCATCATCAACATCCACCATCATCAACATCCACCATCATCAACATCCACCATCATCAACACCACCATCATCAACATCCACCATCATCAACATCCACCATCATCAACATCCACCATCATCAACATCCACCATCATCAACATCCACCATCATCAACATCCACCATCATCAACACCACCATCATCAACATCCACCATCATCAACATCCACCATCATCAACACCACCATCATCAACATCCACCATCATCAACACCACCATCATCAACACCACCATCATCAACATCCACAATCATCAACACCACCATCATCAACATCCACCATCATCAACATCCACCATCATCAACATCCACCATCATCAACACCACCATCATCAACACCACCATCATCAACACCACCATCATCAACATCCACCATCATCAACATCCACCATCATCAACACCACCATCATCAACATCCACCATCATCAACATCCACCATCATCAACATCCACCATCATCAACATCCACCATCATCAACATCCACCATCATCAACATCTACCATCATCAACATCCACCATTATCATCAACATCCACCATCATCAACACCACCATCATCAACACCACCATCATCAACATCCACCATCATCAACATCCACCATCATCAACATCCACCATCATCAACATCCACCATCATCAACATCCACCATCATCAACATCCACCATCATCAACATCCACCATCATCAACATCCACCATCATCAACATCCACCATCATCAACATCCACCATCATCAACATCCACCATCATCAACATCCCCATCATCACATCCACCATCATCAACATCCACCATCATCAACATCCACCATCATCAACACCACCATCATCAACATCCACCATCATCAACATCCACCACCATCATCAACATCCACCATCATCAACATCCACCATCATCAACACCACCATCATCAACATCCACCATCATCAACATCCACCATCATCAACACCACCATCATCAACATCCACCATCATCAACATCCACCATCATCAACATCCCCCATCATCAACATCCACCATCATCAACATCCACCATCAACAAACATCCACCATCATCAACATCCACCATCATCAACATCCACCATCATCAACATCCACCATCATCAACATCCACCATCATCAACATCCACCATCATCAACATCACCATCATCAACATCCACCATCATCAACATCCACCATCATCAACATCCACCATCATCAACATCCACCATCATCAACATCCACCATCATCAACACCACCATCATCAACACCACCATCATCAACATCCACCATCATCAACATCCACCATCATCAACATCCACCATCATCATCAACACCACCATCATCAACATCCACCATCATCATCAACACCACCATCATCAACATCCACCATCATCATCAACATCCACCATCATCAACATCCACCACCATCATCAACACCACCATCATCAACATCCACCATCATCAACATCCACCATCATCATCAACACCACCATCATCAACATCCACCATCATCAACATCCACCATCATCAACATCCACCATCATCAACATCCACCATCATCAACATCCACCATCATCAACATCCACCATCATCAACATCCACCATCATCAACACCACCATCATCAACATCCACCATCATCAACATCCACCACCATCATCAACATCCACCATCATCAACATCCACCATCATCAACATCCACCATCATCAACATCCACCATCATCAACATCCACCATCATCAACATCCACCATCATCAACACCACCATCATCAACACCACCATCATCAACATCCACCATCATCAACATCCACCATCATCAAACATCCACCATCATCAACATCCA